ATTCTCCATGCGAAAATCTTCCATTTGTGTGCTGTGTGTGTGTGTGTGTGGATTGTATGGCAGGGAATTGTGTCATGCGGTGAAAAATTCAAGCTGTACAGTGTGTGTCTGCGATATTGCAATAATTGTATGAATTCCATAATACGCTGTACAATTGTATATGAAAATAAGAAGAGGTTATTTTGTGGTAAAGTTTGTCGATTTTCTATTATATGATTGCATAGGGAATGTGACAGTGTGTATTTTAGCACAACAATGTGAGAAAAGGAGTGGAATTTTTCCTTTTCATGCCTTTCTCTTCATCCTGTCTGTCTATCGTCAAAGTGGAGAGGCATCAGGAAAAGATGGTAGAAAATATTTTGGAGGAATAAAAGGTTTAAGGAGATAGCATCCTCTTCCTTTTTCTCTCTTTCATGCAGACATTCATGGAGTAAAGAAATAATATGCAATATTTTAAACATCCATAAAAAGACATATTAAATTTATTTTTATTTCCTAGGGAATATCGTGTGCTGAGAAATCCTAAATTGCGATATCCCTTCGTCTTTTCTTCCGTTTCTGCCATACGAAATTTCCCTTCCGTGTGAGGGAAGAATAGGACTCTTTTTGGGAAGAAGAATTTCTCCGTCCCGCATCTTATCTCTCCATTGTGCCACATAAATTATTCAGGGCATCAATTGTGACGAGTCTCAGTAACAAGGAGTTGAAGGAAAAGGTTTCTGTCTCCGTGTTTGACTTCTTGAAGAGGAGAAGGGTTGGGGTGATGAGGCAAAGTAGAGTGGGATATGATATTTCAGTGGAAATAATTGAAGATCATCTATCACTTTGGGCTCACATCCAATTTCTACTATGCAATGCGCGTCTCAAATTACCCGCATGTCTGCCAATAGGTGATATTTTTTTAATTTCATAATTATTATCCACTGCTGGAGTTTCCCTTGCAACATTGTATTATTCACATGTTATCCTGGGAAAATGTCTCAAAGTGTCCATCAGGTTGCCGATGATAGAATTATAAGAGGTGCGAGTGGAAGGGGGTGAGAGGGGATGTAAGATAATTGAAGGGGAGGAAAATGTGGATCACATAAAATCATTGGAGTATGGCAAAATGTTCTGTAAGATGGTTTGAGTGGTGGAGTTTGAATTCCCGCAGCATTTACGGGGTGCGTAATTTGCATATTTGAGTATGTGAAATATGGAAGAATTCTCTCAATGAAAATTTCATGGACTTTCTAATACAAGAGAGTGTTTGATAGTTTTCGAAAGAGTGTGGAGTTGGGGATTGGAAAATTGAGAACTTCGTTGGGGTGGCATTTTCAGGGATGGAATGGGATGGGATGGCAGGGTGGAAAATCATGTGAAAAACACGATAGAAGCGTGTGTCGATTTCATGTCACATCACACTTGTGGATAAATTCAACAACTGTATGTATGGATTTTTCCATTGTGTTTTATTGAAAAGAAAGAGAGAAGTGGGAGGTTTCAGGAGTGGAAATCATGAAGATCCTCCCATGTTGTTCGGAGGATTCACATTAGAAATGTGTGAGGAAAGACGAAAAAAGGGAAAAAATGTACATTTCTATGGGAATAAGAAAAAGAATCTATTCTTATATTGCCTTCTAAAATCATTATGATGCAAGATGGTGATGAAGTAATAATGTTTGTATCATCACGACTGGTTGAATCGTGCAGAAGGAGAGGAACAAAAAAAACTTGATTCAATGTATTTTCAGCGAATTCCTGAGAATGTCGTCACACATGCTCAAGTGTAGTCTCGAGTGTTTGGAATTAATGTGTTGACTTTTTGCTAAGAAATATCGATATTATGAACTTTAAAGAGATACAAGACAAGCAAGAGTAGATTTTTGGAGGACAATGCTTAGCAGCTGTGCTCGCAAGTTTCTGTAATCGTTAACCTTCATCTTTAGCATCTCTAAATCCTTTGAGATATGATAGCAATTTTATGACACGTCTCTGCGTCGTAAAATATAAATGCATTATCAAGATTTCACGTTTTTTGCTAATGTTGGTAAGCCCATCGTAATTTAAAGTATTCAGTCAGAAGTCATACAAATACTCATACAAATCTGTTGCCTATCTTCACGAAATAAAGACCAGAGAAACTGCTCGTTCTGAAGCATTTCGAACTGTAATTCTATTGACACATATGCATATAAAACATATTGTCAAGTGCATTTGTCACAAAAGACGCTTTAAAATTGAATAAAAGACGTGCGAGAGGTCGAGATGAATAATTTTTGAGGAATGTTTATAATATTTGTGAACATTACCATAAAATTGCGATATACATAGGAGGTTAATATGTATAAATATAGGTGTACTAACAATGATGTACTTGGCATAGAAGGTTTCATCATGCTCTCTTTTTCCTATGCCTTATGTATGGCTTTTTGTACATTTTTCAATATTTATGTGTGAGGCGGAGGGGGAAGATCGATATGGGTAAATTGTCATGAGAGAGGGTGTGGGAAAAGAATATTTTATAAAGCGATATACACACCTGAATGCTTGGTGGTCGCGCGATGATGGTGAGAGAATTCCAGGTAGAACATTTTGTGGTGTGTAGATGAAATGAGGGAGGGAGAGAATGGAAGGAAATTGCGGCCTATATGATTGGAAAGTGCCATTATTGGAAATTGAATAATTTATTGTCACACACAGAGGAGGTGTTCTTTTTTATGTAAAAACTAGATAAAAGAGTTGCATCATATGCGTAAGTTTTCATGAAAAATTGATTGTCAAGAGAGAATTGTTGAGGCGGAGAAATATCTTGAATAATGTATAATGGTAGTTTTAGGGCCATAATTCAATTAATTTCTAACCAATTAATGATCGTATTTGTGTTTGAAAATTAATTAGAGATTTTCATTAATTTTCCCGGTGAGACACGAGACTGGAAGTGGTGGGTTTTCTATTTTCTAGGTTCTCAGACAATTATATTGTCTTCCTTTTGAAAAACAGATATATCATAAAATTTATTTGTGACATACTTTGTCTGTATGTATGTCCTGCTCTACAGCATGTTGTGCACACGATGTTTTCCAACTTTTTCCTACCTCGCCCTCGCTCAACCCTTCTCCAGTGAAACATTTTCCAATAAATATATTACATAGTAGTAGAGTGATCACACATAGTTTGTTACATTCAAACTATTGAGTCACACAAACACAACTGCTAAGAGGGAATTTCTTTCAGTGAAATACACTCAAGTTTGCCACCCCATAATGGCGCCACTGCACTTAATTATTCATGCTAAACGATGTCTAACGGGGATTATTGTACTACATACTATGTATGCTGAGAGAAGGAAAAAGCGACAGAGGGTGGGCGAGATATTATATTGTGTGGAGCATGAGTTGAATTTGATTCGAATATTGCAGAATTGTACCTTCTCCGTCCCTCCCAACAAAGTGTCTTGCTTTTGCAATATTTATTGGAGAAGAAGACTCTCTCTCTCTCTTCACGTCATAATTGTTTTGTTTCCTTCCTCACGAAATATGAATAGGAATTGGTGGGGTGTCGGGCTAATACGGGTGAGATATAGGAAATTTTTGTAAAAATACCATTAATCCTCTTTTCTCTGGGCTTCCTTTCTCCTCTTGGGCACCGCGTTGACTGTTGGGTGTTCTGTAGCCAATGAATGATGAGGACATGTTGTGTGCGGATGAATTTTTTTATGTATGTGTGTAGAGCTTTTACCCAAAAAATTGTGAGTGAGAAAGAATGTCAGGGAAGAATAACATGGAATGTTGTTTGCATTATATGTGTTGTCCTAAATAAAACAATTAATCATCGTACTGTCACTCCTAATTCCACGCTATATTGCACTTCCATTGAATGACAATGCAATATTAAGTGACGTGAAAATTCTCTCATCTCTGCGTGAGAATAATAATTTGGCGTAAGTTTACGGTGGAAAAATTGAGAGGACAAATCATTTTTGATGTTCATCGTGTGGGAGATTTTTCAGGGAATTATTGATTGAATTTTCATCTTTTACCCATTTTTCATCGTGGTTTTTATGATGGGGTTTTGGTGGTGCGAGTGAACATTTTCTTTTGTGACACTTTTACCACCAATTTGATTGATAGCATTTGAATTGTGGTGTAAATTATCAGCGATTTAACCCCTTTCTGTTGGGGTTTCCCTTTTGAAGGGAAATTCTTGTGTGGTGTTTTGTATATGGATGAATCAACAGATTATATTTTTCATGTGCTCTTCCTACTAAAGGTCTGTTTTATTTCCAGCAAGTTAATTGAAAGTCTCTTCTTGTGATGCAACAAATTCATTAATTGCACATGTATTTAGGGTTATTCATTTTCTGTGGATATGATATCCTCTCGATGACAACAGAGAAATGTTGTTTGTATTTATGAAACATGATGATGAGAGCGACGAGGGTAAATGTTTATTGAATGAGGAACCTTCAATCATGAAATGATTGCAGATTTTTCGTATATGGATATAGATAGGAGAAAGAGATGGAGAGATATTAGGTGGAGTGATTTTCTGAAGAGGATAGAAAGGAGAAAAACTTTGGATTCACCCTCAATTTGATTGAGTCTTTGTCTTATGCCATGTACATGCTATATAGCTGAATTGGTCATGTTTGTGTGCCTCAATCAATGCTTTGTACGAGTGGGGTTGTTTCGTGTGGAGTCAATTGTCCTTTTCCACTGAAATTCATCCACGCATTGGCGGAGAAAATACAAGGTTTTTTTTCTCTCTATCCTGTGGCTATGTGCCTTCCCTGCATTGTAATTGTCTCTCATGGTGTTGTAGTGCTGTGAGCGATGAAAGGGATGTAATGTGTCTGTGTGTATTGCTTTGGTAGGTGACTATGGAAAATAGTTTTTCATTTTTCCCCACCATTCTTTTGGCCACATAAGAAATATTGTAGCAATCAACCTACCCCTATTTTCATCGGTTTTGATAAATGGCAATCGGATACCGATTCTCGTCAGTGTTCATTCTGCTTCTGAATAAAGTAGATAGAGAGCTTGAGGAAAGACGAGCGAGAAGCGAGGATAGAAGAAAGTAATAGTGAGGCTAAAGGGAGATTTAATACAAGAAAAAAGTATCTGTATAAAGAAGAGAAAGTCATAAATTTTTATTCAAAAAATCCATTATACCAGGATTGATCAATAATATGAATATTATTATTTTGATATCATGTTGTAAAAGTGTTCTCTCTTGATAAAGCCCAAGTGATATTATACAAAGTGGACTGTAGGAGTTTGGAATTAATGACATATTACAACCTAAGTGAGGAGAGAGCGAAAAAAATCAAGTGGAATCATAAATTACAAGTCACATTTCTCACACACATAATTAACTACAGCTGAAGGTAAAAATTATACTTTAAATTTATGGTATTTTCTCATTTTTTCCATGTTCACAGCCACTATATATTTCACAATTTGAATGCAAATTAAACTCCAATGCATTCTCAATGAGGTGAAATGTCATTTGTCAGAGACAGAAATTTGATTTATTTGAGCATTTTTAAGTTTAATGATGATTCAAGTTAAAAAAGAAAAAAAAAATTGGCAGTATTGGGGTTAAAAATCGTATTTGAATGTATAGACAAACATTTCTCAGTGTCGGGTTTGTATTGATTCACATGGTAATTTGCATTTTACAATATTTATTTTTACTCAAAAGCAAGAGAGAAGGAGGAAAAGTCGTAAAAAAGAGCGGTGAGGGAAAAGTTGTGTGTTTGTGAATGAGTCAAATTGTCACAACATGCCTTTTTTACGCCAATCCTCCGTTTTTGCAAGAAGAAAGTTGAAAGCTATCCACTTTTTTCCGTATTTGCCTTATTGAATTGGATGTATTGCATTACACTGGGAAAAAAGGAGGGAATATTTGTAAAACTTAGTTAATAAACTTATACATAGGAATGCTGGTGGGGTGAAAAGTGAACAATCACGCTACGGTAGTGAAAGTCATATTGGTGGAAATTATAGTTATTGGAGGCTTAAAATGAAGTATATTTTTGATGCCCTTCCTCCCAATGATTTTCCATGTGGCAATTATGTGCGAGTCTAAGCAATAAAATGGAGCTGATATGGTAGCGTAGTGTGTGAGGCAATATAAATTAGAATAACCGAAAATGCGTGGCAGGTGGAAGAGAAACTGTACTTAATGGATGAAAATCAATCAAATACTGCTCATAATTCCACCCACACAGACCATGTTCTGAACCACAAATTGTCTATTGTTGGTGTTATTTGCATTCTCACTGAAAATCAATCCAACATTGGCCCGCTATTGTTTAAGCGTGAGTGCATTTTCGAGGATAGAGGGAAATGACAAGAGAAACTAAGAGAGAGATTGTGCTAATAAAGCCAAGATATGGCTTATTTGTCACATAATTTATTGAGGTAGTTATTAAATTAGACTTGAAATTAACATACAATCACACCTGCAGTGTTTTTGTGAGGTGACAAGGTATTAGAGGAAGCGAGATAGTATAGCCAGACAGACTCGTTGGCATAAAGAGAAGTGAAAAACAGAGGCGAAAAAGTCTTTTCACCCACTCAGTGGAATGTTTAACATAGTGACACACAAGTGGTGTCTCTCTAGGTAATGTTCGTGATGCTGAGGAATAACAGAGACAGTTGAGAAGGTGCTTTTTTCCGTGAAATTGATTTGTATATTTTGTGCGCCTACATTTTCTCACATTTCCGACAAGTTTCCCTAAAAGGTGTTTGAGCGAATTCCAAGATTTTTGTTGTTTATGACTATTAACAGCCTATTTTTTGTTGCTCTCTCCACTTTATCGTTATGTAATATGCGCTCCACTTGAAATCAGAGTGTGTGTCTTTCTCTATTTCATCTGCATTTCGTAAGAGGTGGAGAAAGAGAAAGAGAGAAAAGGGCATTTGTGTGGTGTGGATGTGGCGAAAAAAGGCCATAATTCTTCGATAGTGGCTAATTTAATAAATTGCGGAATTTCACATTTGTGCATTCATGCAAATGAGAAAAGTGTGCGCATGGAGAAAAGGAGGAATGTGAAGAAAAAATTCACTTGGCTATAGCGGAGAAAGGGGATCTCATTTCATGATACAATTTGCATATCATGTATTAAATACACTCGACATTCTTTTTGCACAATGCATAATTGTTAATACACATGGATTTTTTAGGGGTGTTGTTAGGAAAGAAGTGAGGAGAAAAAAAATCATGTGTTTGTGTGCCTGAACTCTTGAAATATTCACCTGAATTTTTAATTAAAAACTTTAATAATTATTTATGTGTGAATTTTTGGGGGAGTAGAATGAATGAATAAAGAGAGCACGAAAAGAGAGTTGGAAATATTTTATACTTGCCGCGATAACACACTGTATAGCATTTTAAAGTTTGATTTTATGCCTTTTTCCACTTTTTCAGAGAATACTACTACGAGCAGGAGAAGGACGGTCAAATTGAAAAATCCAACATGAAGCGTGACGCAGGTTCGGACGGCGAAGGGCCCAACAAAAAGATCCGTAAGAATGATGAAGTGATTCGCTTGTTGATCCCAAGTAAGGTAAGTGGAAATTGACAAAAAATAATAATAACAATGCGCAAAGTATGACATTTTTTAATACTTTGCTAACACAACTTGTTTATAATTTCCATTCAGATCGCAGGCGCAATCATTGGCAAAGGTGGTCAAAACATCCAAAAGCTACGGGCTCAGGTATAAAAATCACCTTTCTATGGCTTTTTCTTTCTTTGTAATTAGACTTTTTTGCATAAAAAAATCAAAGAGTTCCGGTATTTATGAATTAGGATATTTCTTTCCTGCAAAATGTCCTCCAATTTAACAAAAAGAAACAGAAATCGCTTACTGACCTTTAAATAAAAAAAGGAGTTCTGTATAAAAGTGACATGTAGAAGCCCATTGAGAGTCTTTTGAAGAGGATGAACAGGATAGATTGTCTTTCAGTATTGCAACTAGGACTTTTTTCATACATACTTTATATCTAAGTTTTAATCTGTGTTTTTAATTTTTCTCTTTTTCTTATGATCTCGATAAGTGAAGACAAAAAAGAATGAATTGAGACTATCTTTATGTTTCTTTTAAATGAGATTTAGTGACGAAGAAAGTCCATTTGTCTTTTAATTTGTGTCTTTAGTTTATTTTCACTTGATTATGATTTTAATTTTTTTTAAATTATACAATTTAATATTTTTATGAAGCAATACACTTAATGTATGAAATTTCTCATTTGCCCTCATATTATGCCCGCCCCTGCCCGTCACTCGCTGCGCTCTTCAACTTGTGCGATGCCCAAATCTCATCTTCTGACTATCGTCGCCTTGGCCCACGTCCACACGTCCAACCAAATGGGTTCCTGGGATTCTTGTGCGTCTATCTGCTGCAAAAACACACAATATATAATGCCAAAAAAATGACAATGAACGTTGATTGAAAATCATTCACCAACATGACCGGATAAATATCGCTAAAACCAACGCCAACGAAATGCAAAAAACAATGATCCATTTTGAAAAAAAAAAAAAAAAAAATTGCTGAAACAAAAAATGGAAATTGCACTATTTTTTTACTTTTGCTTTGAAAAAACAAAAACAATAATATTTGTTTATCGCTGTCCAATTTGTCTTCCATCTGGCAATATGATGAAAACTGTAATATTTTGCATATTTATTGTCCATTCACAACGAAAAAAATAATAATGAATTTGGAAAAACACACACATGAAAACAATCTGTCATCGACCTCCCGAACACACCCGAACATGTATACATGACCACGGTGCAAAACAACATGCACACAATGTTGGATCCATGGCGATATTCGAATACCCGACCAATGTCTGAATATTCATGACCTCGGTGTGACCCGAAAACGACCCGCCCGAATGCCTTGCCCATGTGACGTCATGTGACCCAAAACATAATGATAAAATGACGTCTCTGCCACCACCAAAAATTGACCACAAACACACCACCATCCAAATGCAGTATAAAGCCACTGTGTCTGTCGACGATTGCCAGGGTCCCGAACGGTAAACACTCTAAATATCTCTCTTTATTTTATAACTTATGTCTTTACCTGACATTATTATTATATTTTTACCACTACTGTATACTTTAATGCTAAGTCTCCACCCGAAAACCCCCCTTAAATGCCCACCTCAGAACCCAGTCAGAGAATAATTCAGTGCCACCAAAAGTATTTACCACTCCGCAGGGGAAGAAAGAAGTGAAAGAAACAGTCTTTAATCACCAAGTTGAACAGTTTTATAGCTCCAATTTCACCATAGGCGAAGGTTGAGTTGATGAGGAGCATGGTTAAAATTCAAAGATATTGTTTTGTTGGTAGCATTCGCGAGAAAACTATCGCCCAAGTGGTTTTTTTGAGGCTCAATTCCAGTGTTTGCACGCATAAGCAAGATGTGTCGTAAAATGGTATCGAATATGCTAAATATGAAACCACTGTTGAATAATATCTCGAACCAAAGTAACGCTTTCAGATAACCACAATTGGAAGAAGGGCAATGTTCTACTTCTTGTTACAACTGATTACGAGTTATCAGTTGTTCAGCATTGCACCTTGCGTATCAAAGCTTGTTCATATCTTATCTTGCTTTAAACAGAAGCTGTCAATAAAAGTTACGATATTGACGTCTTATTGTTACTCATCGGAGGATCGTGTTTTTTTGCACTATCACATGGTTAATGTTATTATGTTGGATTCGATAAACTTCTTAAACTGTTGTGATAATGTTATTACAGATATGGTTAATATTCTGCGACTGAAAAATTAACGTTTTCGAATTAACCTTGAAATGTGTTCTTATAATATGCAATTGTTTGTCATTGTGAATACAATGAATGAGTGAATAAAGTTGCACTGCACACGATCACTTTACTTCTTTCTCAACACGCACTTAAAAGCGGTATGAATTTAAGGATTTGCAAACTTTGTGTGACCTTTACGACGCGTCTTTTGCCGACACTGGTTAATTCCTGAACATGACGTGGACGCTTTCACCTGCGATATGGGGTGGTTATATATTTTTTATGATTATAGCGTCACCATATAACGTACAGAAGCTGGAGTGTAGAGAGTAATTGTAAAAGCTGCCGGAGAAAATGTTATGGCATGTTGTAGGCATATAAAGAAAAGAAATGTGTGGAGAAACGTCCAAAAGTGTCTTGCCACCCCAAAGCCAAGCCCATTCCTGGAAACTTAAGCCAGCAATCCACTGGAAATCATTGCTCGAGTTGTCTCTGTGTTGCCAAGTGTCTTAAATCCAATTGTCGCAAGTGTTTGCTGAAAAGTCTCTCTAATGCAATTGACCTCTGGACAGTTTTTTCTGTAACACTGTAGCTCTATGTATAGCGACTTCTTTTTTCCGAGTTGTTGTATAAGTTTCCATCCGCGTACACAAGGAGAGTGACTGATTCTGTTGCCTTTTATGAGACAAAGTGACATGAAACAGAAACCCACCCTGACTAGAAAAGGGAGAAGAGGCAAAAAAGAGAGACACCTTTAGATGAGCGAAAGATATTTAATTAAATTTATTTAGAGATATTGTTTCCACCCACGTAGAATGGTTCTCTCTTGCTTGTGAAACTATATACGCGGGTATACAACACAGAAAAAAGTACATACAAAAACAATGTCATTTGTGTACAGATACCATTGCCCTCTAACAAGCAATCCTAATCCATCAGCTGAAAACTTTTTGCCAGCTACATTTATTTGCGATGAATTAATTTCTCACACAAAATGTTGGAAGATGGTTCTAAAAAATGAGTGGGAGTATTTTGGTTATTATTCTTCCCTCTAGAATATTGTGTTGCTTTCATGAAGAAATTTTAATACAATTCACTCACAATGTATTTTAGTGGGAAGATGTGTGGCAAAAGTTTCTCAATCCAACTTGTTGATAATGTTCTGAGATATGTATACACAATGTAGTGTGTATGTTTGTATGTATATATTTATATATATTTGGAATGGAAAAATTCTTCCCATTTTGGCTCTTTTGCGCGACTTATATATGTGAAAAGTTTTTCCTCTCTCTAAGCATTTAGTAAACTATATATGAGAAACTTTTGCCCGTAAATTCCGCCACTAATAAATTAAAATAGTATAACAATCACTGACGAATGAATCCTGTGGGGAAATCAGCGGAAGTATATTACCAAGTTGGAGGAGTGATTTTTTAAATGGCTTCCTTTGTTGGGTTTTTTGATGGCAAAAGGGAGAGAAGGAAAACATGTAATTCCCTAATGTATATTCATTTGTTTTCAACAATCTTGTTCTTGTCCCTGACAATCTCTAATCCAATTTTTCCATCACACCCTGACATGCAGTAATTTATATCACGGAGAACTTTACTCTCACTTTCTTGCATTGATGAAAGTTTTTTTTACTGTCATTTTCCCTTTTTTTTGACATTATTGGATTTTATTCTTCATACTTTTCTCCCCATTATGGGTTTCCCTTCAAGGGAAGAGTGGAAAAATGAGGGACAAGATAATACATAGTGATATGAAGAACACCTCACTTTGAATGCTTGCTTTCCAGTGTGATATTTCTTTCTACTGTCCCAGAAAGTCCATGACAGGAAAAGTGAGAGAAAGATGAGGAATTCTCCTGTGAATTGATAATGTCAGTGTTATTATTTTACCATCCTTTTTCTCTAATATCACCGCCTTCTCCTCTCCCCACATCTGTGCCCACTCGTGTAATTCATTCAATTAATATGAAATGCAAAATCTGTTTGTTGGTGTTCAGAAATCATGAAAAATTATGAATCTGTTTTGTTATTTCTAAAAAAAAAACCACTGCAAATGTTCATCACTAAAAGATACACACTATCACATCACTTTCAATTGTCCTTTTTCCTCTTTTTTGGCGAAAAAACATACATGACGTATAAATCCAGAGATTGATTTAACGCCGCTTCTTGAGCTGTTGTTATTAATTTTGACTAATTGTTTGCTTGTTTTTCTTCCAGTACGGTTCTCATTTCATCTGACATGGAGTCTGTGTGTAACATTTTGTCGGAAATGCTGAAAAATTTCGAAGAGGTGAGTTATGCGGAGTACTGGCATTCTCTTCGTATTATCCTTCTGTAGTTTAAGTTGACTTGTAAATTCAGAACTATTGTATAAGAAGTGTTCTAATTCTAATCTTATTAACATCAAAATAACACTCTTTCGAAAAGTTTAGTTTCACTAAATTACTCAATTATCATAATTTATATAATTACATGTTGAATTTTGTAAAAAAAAAATCTCTTAATAATTTTTTTGTACATCATATTTTATCGAACATTGAACTTTACGCTTTGTCTAGGTTCGTCTGTGTATTTGTGTGTGTATGAAATTTTCATATGATGCTTGTATCTATGGGAAAGAAAGCAGATTGTCTTCTGGGTTTTCCTTCCGCTGTCTTTTCCGCCCAATGTGGGTGGGTAATGAAATGGAAATTGAACGACATTTTAAGTGTAGACTGTAAAATTCTCATTGAATATTAGGGTGGGTAATTTATATTTAAATTTTTGATGAAGACACCACTATTAGGGTGAATAGAGAAGACGAAAAGTTTTTCTTTTCCCAATAGAAGAGAGCGAGGAGAGGTGGAAAGTGAGTTATGTCGAATTTATAGAGGTGTTTTCTCGTATTTTTTTAACCTCACTCTCCGCCGAGGAAAGAAGGGCGGCTGCATGTCGAGAAAATTACTAGGTGCCTACTCTATGCCCACCCACTTGCCGACAATTTCCAGACCACAATGCGGCGTGTGTGTGTGCTATAGTTTTTATTGAAAACCCTCTTTCTATACTCGCTCACGTATCGATTGTTTTTAATGTTATTTTTTCTATGGACATTTTGCTGTTGATATCATCATTTTTTTTGTGTAAAAATTCTCCTTGATTTTACCCGTCTGTCAACACTCGAGTTGGTCCACTCAAGGGCCAGAGCGGAATTTCTCTTCTCAATTGATAGCCAGAGTGTCGCATATTTCAACGTGAACAGTGTTGAGGACACAAATTGTTGAAAATTTAATAAAAAAAATTTCTTCGTGGAACATTAAATTGATTTTTTCTCTTCACTCTCTTTCAACCAAAAAGCTCACGAGGTGCGCTATTAAAGGTTGTACACTGCGTGATAAAGAGTCCTGGGCAGAAAGGGTGAAAAAATACTCTGGTGACTTTGTGCTAAAAAACACACCCTCTGCTTTTATATTCCAACCACCCACTAATGGGGCTGGATGGATTAAATTGAACTACGTTAAGAGATGGACAGAATGTTGGGAAAGTTATAATTATTTAATAGATATTTTTGCTTTGATTACAAATGTCCATATGAATAATTGAGTGAGGTGAAAAAAAAAATTGAATGGAGGTGAAGAGGAAAATGTGTAATATTGGTATTTAAATAAAATTGGGACTCGGTTTCTCTCTTTTTCCTTGTGGTTTTGATAAGAGAGTGAGAGGGAGAAAATAGAAGCATAGGAAAAAGTGAAAAAGGGCTGAAATAGCACGAAATAGAGGAAAATCTATTGATATCGCGTGTCTCTCGTAATTACTCTTTTAAAATTTCATACCAACTATGGCGACTTTCTGTCTATAACACAGTTTGTTCTCTGTCGCCTTTTTTTCACTCCCTTCCACTGCTCTTTTTTCCTCTAAACCATAGAGAAAAAAACACCGTTTGGTCTCTTTCTGTGGCGTCACACTTCCCAAATTCAGTGAGATTTTCACATAAAGATAATAAATTATTTGGTCAGCTAAGGTGTCTTTTCCTATCTCTCTCTCTCTATATGGCTTTCGGTGTCACAATGTAGAGAGATTTCGATCAAATTTGCGATTGAGATGTCTTTCCCATCTTCAAAATGATTTTCTCAATAAATTCCACTGTGCAATATTTCAGCATAGAATGTAAATTTTTCACAGGTATCACCGCCAAAGTGGAATAAATCATTTAAATTGCGTGCTTTTTCACACTCTGAAGGGATTTTGTGGGGCGGAAATGGTGGAGGAGAAAAAATTACCTATAAATTGTATTAGGTTGTGTTGTGTTGTATGTTATTTCAGTCGTTTGTTGAGTATTGATTTACAGAGCTGCAAATTTGTGTAACTACCTTTAAAATGGGTTGTGGAAAAAAGCACACATCTTTTATTGGCTAATTGTTTGAAAATTGTATAGCACACAGAAATAATTGGTATTGTTTTTTTTGTGTGTGAATTGGCCATTGGAGAAACGGTTTAAAAATATAAAAAACAGCTCCTGAAAGTTTAATAAAAAGTTTTGCGCAAGTTAAAAAATATAATCTGAACTTTGGTTAGTTTTTTTTCAGTCTGTGAGTTTTTTCCGTTTTCTTTCTTGCGCAAGAAGGAAGATGTTTTTGCAAATGACCCCATTATTATCATAACAGCATGAATGCTTTAAAAAATATAACAAATTCTATGAGGAAAGTGTGAAATGTCGAGAAATGTCATGTGATTTTCGCTCTCTGGACTCTTTAAAATTGAAGTCTCACGTACGATAAAATTCAATATTTGCTGATTTTGTACTTTATCCCATGTCACATTTTATTCCAAGGATTTGGAGCACATTGAAAAGATATTTGATATGACAAAAAGGACTGAGGGAGATGGAGATGTGGAATTTATATGTATTTGCCATGGAAATTTAATAGATTAATTTATCATTTACTTCGCGTGCCCTTCTTGCCTCTTATGTTGTCTCTATAATGTATTTTTGGTTTATTTAATTGCAGAAAGAGGAAGGTGAAATTGATCTTCGCTTGCTCATCCATCAAAGTCTCGCCGGATGTGTGATTGGCAAGGCCGGGAGTAAGATCAAGGAGTTGCGAGACGTAAGTTTGTGATACATATTTGGAGCCTACACCGAAGGGGAGAAAAAGTGTGCGAGGGAATTGGCAAGAAATCTGTCTCTTGCTGACAGTTTTTAAAGTGCATTTTCTATTCTTTGCAACACTTTGCTCCTCACTGTCTCAGCATAATGCAATAATTCATGTTATTCTGCTTTTGGGGGTCGTAAAGCAGTGTATAAGGAATGGATGGACGGGGAAGTTGTCTTGAAAATGCTGAGTACATTCTTCAGGCATTGTTGAGGAGATGGAGTTGAAAGGAAGTGAGAGAGAGTGATGAGTTAAAAGTGGATGGAAAACAAATTGAAGAAATGGAAAATTTATGAGTCAAATAGTACATTTCCAAGGATGAGATTTTGAAATACATATTTTGACGAGAAAATGTGGAAAGGGGGGGAGAAAATGGGTGAATGCGTATATTTGATTTTCATGTGAATTTTTGGAAATAAAATGCGCAAGTTGAATGAAAAGAGAGAGAGAGAGAGAGATGAAAAAAAAAATCCTTCAAATTGAGTGGAGAAGTGTGTAAGGGAGAAAAGGCACGTTTTTCTCCAGTGTTTGTGAATTGATGGGATATATGGATTAGATTAAAAATTGAATTTTATATACAGTCACACACAAAACACATTTTTCGATTTAATGGGAAGGAAAAGAAGAGCGCGGCGCGTCCATGTGAAGGCGCATTGAGGGTGAAATATAGGGAAAAAATTCCTTCCTTCATTTAATCTTATCTAACATTTATATTGTGATGTCAATATGGTTGGAAATGGTTCTAGATGGAAATGTTGTCTTCCTAAGGTAGTCATTAGCAACCTTATTTACGTGACACGTCGATACGTTGTACATAAAAGTCGGTAATACATCAGGTGAAAGGAAAATTATTGGACATTTTTCACTGGATTTCACTCATTAGACGAGGGAAACTGTCCGAATGTGGGTGGAGAAGAATGGACAGTACAGTGAATTATTTCCACATACATATTACGGAAAAGGTGTACTGCTCACTTTTTCCACCCTGGCGTCCATTGAGGGTGGGCAGAATGGGTTTTGGACTGAAAGAGAGAGGGGACGAAGAGGAAGTTCTGTGGGCTCTCTATATTGACACAAACAACTAATACACATGCTAAAAGAGACAGACAATCAATACTGATGGAAAGAAATGGTCATATTGCGGCGATAAATTTAGATAGAGTGAGAGAAAGAAGTGGTCAATTTATTCCAATGGATATCCACAAACTGAAGAGTGAAACACCCACGATTTTGCCCAAAAAATTAATTCACCTCTTCACTAATCGCTAAATTGATCTTGATTGCTTGTCTCACAATCATTTGATGTGGTTAGAATGTCTTATTGTCTGCCTCAGGAATTGTAAGAAGTTCAACAAAATTGAGCCATTAAATCATCATCTCAATAAATCCAACTATAGTGTAATGATTGGAAATTTAAAGAGATATATCAAGGCATTTTTCTGTAATATTGCTGGCGGATGAGAAGGAGTTTATTGCAAGAATGAGGCTATAAGTAATAAAATTAATTTTCCCATGTTAATAAAGCTGAATGCAATAAGAAGGGGAATTGATTGAATTTGTGGGTAATCAAGGGAAGAGAGGGAAATGGGCTTTTTGTCATCAATATCACAATACAAACCGGAGGAACAGTGATTTTATTTATATGTACCTATAATATTTTGTATTCGATTTATTAAGTATTTTTAGCTTGTGATTCAGATTAATCCTTATTACTGAAAATCTCCCAATATATTCGCGTGCATTAAGAAGTGGTAGAACAGGGAATGGAATGTATTTTAATCGGTTGCCTCAAAGGCGTGATTGGTTGCTATTTTGGAGAGTAATGTGTATTTGAAATTATTTTTCAAGCGCATTAAACCGATGAATGTTTTTGAATTTTGGGTATATCGTGTGAAAAGCTTAGAGTTCAAATTCAAGCTATTAAAGCCAAAATTATCTCAATAGCTTTAATTGTGTTTTAGTTTGTAAAACAATTCACATCTGAATATTGGGCATATTGAGTGTTTGCGAAAGCACAACCGTTGAAATATTAATTGGATATACTGTGAAAAGTATTTTAAATTCATTGTATTGTGTTTTTTTTTAAATCTTTCAGTATTACGCAGTTGTACTTTTTCCCAATACAATTGTTATATAAAACTCCTAAATTCCCATTTTTTATTGAGCTTTAGTAATATCAAGTGGACTTTTGGCACAGTTCCCTCTTTATGTGTGATTTGTACCAATAACTGATTTTAACTAATAAAAGTCACCACGAAAGAAAACGATATTAATTTATAATTGCTTTGAATTTGTCAAAGAGAAAGGGAGTTTGATAGATCTCTGAGATGTGTTGCACAGCTCGTAATTTGCATGATTGTGTGTCAATAGCAAAGTATGAAGGAAGAGAGTGTGACTGAATGAGCGCATTTTTTCGTCCTTTTCCAAATAAATCCATGTAAAGGGTTGAAGTGAGATTGCGGAGTAAATAGAATTTGTGTCTTTGCCACACTCTGTAGCAAGTATCCTTTGAATGGGGAGAGGGTGTGTGTGTGAATGTGGGTGGTGCACTGAGAGAAAAAAGAGGGCGGCTATTAGGGGAGCTTGAGTCCTCGAGGATTCACAAGTGGTGTGAAGTGAGAGGTGAGTGGTGATAGTGATCCTCTGCTTGTGTATTGCTGAATTCACAGGAATGTTAGAAGTTTGCCTGCGGTGCTTGTGTTCATGTGGGTGCAAAATGTTCGTTGAGAGGTGGAATTGTGGAGTTTAGTTATAATGTGGATCGAAATGAGGGCAACATACGGAGCAAGGATAAATTTCTTTCTCTCTCTTACGCTTTAGCTTTTTTTCTACTGGTTCTCTATATGTGTGTTATTGTGTGGAGTTATTGTTTGAAGGAGGATAAATGAGAAGAAAAAGGAGAGTAAATACACTTGCCTAAAGGGTGGAAGAGGATGATATTTGGTCCTTTTTTAGTTTATTTAGCAAATACTCCATTTACAGTCTGATATTTGTGATAGGAGTGAGATAATGTGGAGATTTTCCTATAAGAGAATGTTTCTCTTAAATTCTGACAAATGTCCGTTCATTAATAACATATTTAGTAGCAGTTGAGCAATGAATATCAGGAGGGGAGAAGGGCAAAAACCCAGTAAAAGTCTGTTGGTGTTGTATTTGAAAAAGAATCCGTATTGAAACAGGTGAGTGGGAAATTAAATTTTCTCATTCATCCTTTATATCCTGCCATTTCTATGAATTTTCATGCTAATTAGTTTACTTTACACCTTTCATGTGAATTTATCACTGGCGGAAGTGGCTTTTTCAATTCGTATTTCCAACACTTGTCTCACTTGTCTATTGTTGAGGGTGAATTTTCATTAGTCAACTTGGAGATGTGCAGAGTTTTCCTAGTGACAATTGCTGGAAGGTGATGTTTGGTGACATAAAAAAAAGTCCTCGTCCGTTTTAGACAGTATCTACTATATTCAGCAATATCAATTACGTGTGACTTTTAGATTAGCAAAAGTTACCACTAAAACGTGACTTTATGGACTGCTATTAAAGTTGCAGTTGAAATTTTGTGGCAAAACACTAAAAGTTCATGTTGTACATTTGACATTCTATGTGTAAAAATGTAAGTCAAAATGTATTTGGCGCTTTTAATGGCACATGCAATGTGGCTCTCTTTTTCAGTATTCATAGCGTGAATTTTCATTAAGGAAGATAAACAGTGGTTTGAGTGGGTGGATGGATGATGACGGGAAAAGAACTGGCGATTTTTCAACTTTAATTAATCTGCAGAAAATGATATTAAACATGTTGAGGTTTAATCTCTACAAACGCGCGAGTGAAATGGGTGTGAGGGTGAGAAGGAGGGAGAGAGTGAAGTCATGGGTTAACGAACCACAATTTGGATAGTGGTACCTACAAATAGGGGTGGTTTTTCCCATCTATCCATCTCGCTTTTTACACTGGACACTAGTGAGAATTTCCCATGAAGTGTGCAGAGGAGCAACACTGTTGTAAACTATCAATAGACAAGTTGTTGGGTATTTTTTTCCTGAGTGTCCAAGTATTTTAAAGAGTAAGTGAGAGGATTTCTTTCGGGAAAAACACAGTGGGACATCCTGCTGAGAGGATTTCTCTCACAGGAGATGACTTTTTGAGAGAAATAAAGTTATCCTGCACATGCGTTCTGCCCACTTGTGTCCTGTCTTTTTCACTCTGGTACACTTTCAGTCGAATTCTTTGTGCTTTTCGTCCCTTTTTCACTCCCCACCAGTTCTTTTTCGCCACTGAACTGTCCCAGTGAAGTCAGATGGGTGAGCAGGACGGTGGTAGATTAATTGAAGGGAAGATCTACCAATAGTGGGGTTGGAAGGAAAGCTCTTTGAGGGGTAAAATGTGTGTGAGAAGGAAAAAACGCACCTCTATTGAGTTTAGTTCTCCACAAACTGTTATACGTGCGGTCTTGTCGAGGGAGAGACGAGATATTGAAGAGTGATTTTTTCTAATTTTCATTTCCTCTACACATTTTTGGTGCCTTCTGTCTTGTGAACAATTGAGGGTGGGCTCTTTATCGCGGGACCCTCTCTCAATTCATCCATTATCCTTCGGCGAGAGTGGAACGTGTGTTTTTGTGGTAGCGAAAGCTAAGGGTAATTTATTGTATTGAGTGTAATTTCTGGGAAATTGTTCTGAAAGTGGCGAAGAAATGTTAAAGTCACTCATGAGTGAATTTTACCTATAGCACAGAATGAATTATCGTGATGTGGTTTCTCCCTATTCTGTCGTGCTCATTTGTCAGTGTGAGTGGGCGTGAAAGACTCAAGATTAAATTGAGAGGAAGAAAGAATTGAATTAAAACACCCAAATTAATTTGATCTCGTTTTAATTCCATGTAATCGCCTTGTTGGACGGCTTTTTTATGGGGTTGTGAGCACTTTTTTTCGCCTCTTTCGCTCTTTCTCTTGAGATCCGATTGATGGAATCAGACGAAAAACTGCTTCAGTAAAGGAGGAGAAGGAATTAATGAATTGTTGGCAAATGATTTTCCTCACTGCAAAATCGTTCTCTCATTCTTAATCCGGGAAAATGGGTGGGCATTTAATTTAATGCGCGCGGAGTGAGGGAAGGTGGGTTGAAAAGGGGGATGAAAATGAAAAATTTGTGTTTATTGAATCTTTACCTCCTTGCGGAAGGAAGTGAAGAGTGTGAAGCTAGAGGTGTTGAAATGTGTAAAAATGGAAGTGATATTAATTTAGGAGAGAAGGTTGGAAGGCATGGAAAAGTGGTTTTTATATGAATGTGCATTTTATACACTTTTTTTCCCTTCACTTTTCGCAAGCATAGAAATTGTGTGAATATCCTTTTCGTCGTGTCGAAGGAAGGCAGTGGGAAAGTGAAGAGGCGAGGAAGGAAGAGAGGGAGAGTGAATAGTTGAGATGGAAGGAAAAGTGCTGAATAAAGTTGATGGTGTTTGTCCCTCAAATAAATGCCGGAAGTTTAATAAATTCTCCTCAATTCCCGTACATACGTATAACCTATGCCGTGAAGGGATGAAGAATGTGAAGAGGGTGGTTGAGAGTGGATGTATGAAGAGAGAGAGAGAGGAAAAAGTTGAGTGAAAGAGTGTCTGAAGAATAACTCAGCATTATTACTAAAAAGTACTATTTCTGAGCTATGAAAATATATCTTTCCGACTTGTAGAAAAAAGGAGTGTTTGCATGAAAGATTGAAAAACTTTGAATGGTGCGCGTCCGGGGAAATAGAAGGAAATGCCGAAATCTGTGTGAGGAAAACAGAATATGGGAAAAATACTGGCTTTGGTGGATGGAAAAAAGGGGGTGGAATAGTGAAGAAATTGCCAATAGAGAAAAGATCAATTTATTTACATTGTATTTAACTTTGTTGTTCTTTGTTTTCTCTCCCACAATCGCAGAAAATTGGATCTCGCATCAAAATCTTCTCGAATCTTGCACCACAGAGCACAGATAGGATTGTGCAGATTCTCGGAAAGCCAGATCACTGTATTGATTCCATTAAAGAGATTGTGAATCTTGTTAAATCGGTAAGTATACGCTCAGTGTCTTCCTTTTTCTTCAAGTAGGAAAATTTGTTGGTGAAATTCCGTCAAAGGCCATTGAGAAATTCTTTGTTCTTTGACCCCAAAGACCAGAGCGAAGAGCGAATGTGCGGACTGAGAAGGACTAATTGGAAAAAAAGAAAAGTATCTTTGAAAGACTTTCTGAGGGTACTTCAAATGGGATTTCCGTCAAGTGGAATTGAGAAGATATTGGTAAAATTTGTAAGATTTGAGCAATATTTTCTGAGTGGTACTTTCCCTCCGTGACTAACTTGGGGATGAATTTCATTTGAAAGTAGTTAAATCTTGTACCATATGGTTTCTATTCATGTTATATTGGCAAAAGAACAATTGGGAAACTTTATTAACACACACAGTTGAGAATTTCTCAATATGATTCTAGTTTTATGTCAGGATTTATTTGTCAGAAAGTTCGAATGCACTAAGTTTTCAAGTATTTGAAGAATATAACTTGTTTTAAAGACATTCATGTTCTTAATTCCTATACAGTTAGGTTTTCTTATCTTGATGAATAGATTTAAATTGCTAATGTGTTTATGCTAAATATAGAGAAATTGGATTGAAACAAAAGAATGTCTCGAGTTAAAAGAAAAATTTTGATTCAAATTTTGTGCAAAGTATTTTCTTTGCCAATTAATAAACATTCAAAAACTTTATGTTGGCCTAATGATACAATTTCTTCGGATCTCAGGGATTTTCTTCTCTTTCGTTATCTTGATATATATGTGTTATGGTTTTGATCCTTGCAGACACCAATCCGTGGGCCAGTGCACAACTACGATCCGCTCAACTTCGACGATGTTTACGCAGAGGAGTACGGCGGTTATGGGGCTAATGGGGGCGGCAATGGGTTCCGCAACGGTGGCGCCAGATTCAGCGGTGGTGGAAATCCGCGCGGAGGCGACCGCTCGGGCGGAATGGATCGCTTTGGCGGCGGTGGCGGAGAGCGCGGCGACAGACGCGGGGATATGGATCGCAGTCGCGGCGGCGGCGGCGGTGGCGGAGGCGGCGGACCAATGGGCCGAGCCTCAATGGAGAGCCGGGACTTTGTTGACCCGTGGGCGAGACCGCCAATGGGCAACGGCGGCGGCCCGATGGGCGGCAGCAGCCCCAACATGAACATGTCAATGGGCGGCATGAGCTACGGCGGCGGCATGGGCAACGGCGGCGGTGCCGGCGGCGTGAGCGGATCGTCTGGCATGGGAATGGGTGGCGGCGGCGGTGGAGGCGGCTCGGGAATGGGCATGGGCGGCGGCAGCATGGGTGGCGGCATGAGCAACAGCTACGGCATGGGTGGTGGCGGAGTGGGTGGCAATATGAGCAGCATGGGTGGCAATGGCGGCGGCTCTGGGCCAATTGAGATGGATGGAAAGAATACGACTCAAGTCACAATACCCAAAGACGTGAGTATATGAGAGTTTATACTTAAAATTATTTATTTAGAATCATAAGTGTGCAAGATAAAGCGCCTTCATGGGTGGCTGGCGATGGGTGGAGGAAAGAGTCTCTCTTTCTCTCGTGAGATTTATAACAGAGTATTTTTGCAACTCGTTCCTTCCCATCTCCTTGATTGATGCAATTTTCTCTTTCATGTCGCTCCGCTTCTGTCCTTCCGGCGGGGGGTTGCCACATATTTATCCGGGGGGCGGCTGGCGTTGGCAGTTGGCTGGTGCGATTATTGGAAAGGGTGGCGGACGCATTCGTCGCATCCGGACTGAGTCGAATGCTTTCATCACGATCGATGAGCCACTTCCCGGCTCAAATGATCGCATCATCACCATCACCGGGACACCAAAGCAAATACAGACGGCACAGTATTTGCTACAGCAGAGGTGAGTTTCTCATTTGCCATCATTTTCTCCCTTGCACTTCCCTCAGGGATGAAGTGGATGTGTTTTTTCTGTCTCCGGTAACCAATTTCTATGGTAATGAAATCAATGTGTTGATGCCTGCTTTGCAACGAACACAAATCATGGTGCTTCTTTTTTTGGGGAGTGGAATTATTAAAATTCATTGCATATTCTCGGCAATTCCGTACAGAATAGAATTTTTTTTGAATACATCCAAAAAATGAGTTTGCGAATGCATTTTTTAAATTATTGACTCCAAAAAGGCACAACAATTCATCGCTTTGTAGCTGAAACGTGTGTAAATAATTCTAATCTCATATTATTGCTAAGCTTTTGTATTATTGCTGCTTCTTGCCTCGTGTGGTATTTGGATAAAGAAACCTGATTGTAAGAGAAACATTTACGTGTAATTGATAAATACTGAAATATTCACAAGAGATTTTCTTTGTGTACTTTTCTCAAAAGACATTTTCATGACACTTCCAAGAATCAGTGGGGAAAGAAATAAGGAATTGAGTGAAGCGGCATAATTGCCAAGGAGAAACAGAGGGAGAAGTTGATGTCACTCGCAAATCAATTTTACATTTAGATAACGCAGAATTGGAAAATAATGTACAAAAAGAAATACAGATTGTGTTTTCTGTTGCAAAGCGGAAAAAAATTCCTTTCAAAATGGCAAACAATGCTCAACTCTTTCCTCTATGATGACTTACATTCTTTGTAATGAAATTACTGCAATTTACATGGTCTAATTTGACTTGCAACTGCCACGGCAGGACGACACGGGGTGCTTTTTCTCATTCTTGTAATTTTCTTGTTGCATGCTTTATCCCAACTCCCCTTTTGCCTTTAACAATATAACATAACTTTAGTGTGGAGTTTGCTGTGGTGATGGTTGGCGACATGCAGGAATTGTGGGGCACATTTTGTATGGAAGACTAGTGATTTTGTTGTTTGGGTTAAGGAATTAACAAAAAATCTCTCGTCTTTCTACAAAGTGAATGCTATGTCTCATCATTTTTCGACCACTCACAAGGACATTTTTGTTAATAATACTGTTTAACATATAGGAAAGTATCATATACAGAGAGACTGTGCGTTGGTGCGCAGGGAATAGGCTGAAAATTCATCAGGAGAATTTTAAATTCTTCAATTTCTTTGTTATTTTTCCGAGTTACTTTCATTGTGAATTTGCAAAGTGATTAAGTTTATGGCAGAAAAGAGTCTTTCTGTATATGACTGATTGTACTGTTTATATTGGGAGAAATTGTTCTTTCTGTCCACATCAATATTTCTAATTCTTGCTTTCTTTTGGCTATTTTTCCAGTGTTCATGAGAATCGGAGGAAATTCTAAAGGGAGAGCCGACGAAACATCACAAATACACATGAGAGAAGGGATAAAATGATGCAGAGCAGGTGTGAAGAAGAAGAAGTGTTGGGAGAGGAGGAATTTCCAAGGAGCAGAAGCGTTATTTTTTCTATATATTGAAACTAATTGCCAGTTTATCGTGTTTATTACACTCCCTCACTGAATTATGGGCTTAGAGAAGAGGAAGAGATGATGATGGAGAAAAATACCCCACCACTGGTCTGCTCTATATTTAATAATTACGATTAATTAAGTATAATAATCTTATTTTATCAAGAAAAAGAAGAGAGAAAGAGAACAGCAAAGAGATGGAGAAATGTTTTATTATGTGAAGTTATAGACAGTGTTGTACGTCTTTCCTCTATTTTTCTTTCTCTTTGGGCATCAAATGTGCGTCAGTTTTTCTATACGTCTATTTGTCTTCCCCTTTGCAGGCATATTTCTTTCTTCTATTATTAAATGTGGGACTTGCATTAAAAATGAGATTGAAGCTCACATACGTGTACTTGATTGTTCTTTTCTCTCTTTATTTTCGGGGGATGTGTGGTTTTTTTTTGTTTTATCAGTGCAGAACAATATAATATTGTGTAAAGTGAATTTTGGGGATAAAAAAGCACAAAAGAGGAGAAATAAAAAATAATTGAAATTTGAGAGAGAGAGAAAGAGAAAATCATAATAACGGGGAAGAGAAAATTTTCATACTCTTATTACAATTGTCATAAGATTACTTAGAATGTTAAATATAACATTTAGTGAGTAGAGAGTATAATTATGTGTAAGGAGAGTGTCGATGGTGAAATTGAATATGTAAACGCCTATTTTTTTTCTTTTACTTTATTAAGAGAAAATCTTGGACATCATTTTTTATCCACACGTAAGGGAAAACGATCGTATTAGATGGAAATGTGTTGAAATTTGCAGAAAAGTCGAGAATGGGTGAAAAAAAATGGCGATACCAGAGTACAAAAGCATCAAAGGGTTCTAAGGAGAGTCATTAATAAGAGAATCATGGAAAGAGGAAAAAAGAAAAAAAAACGACAAGAAATCAACCAAATATTTAACACATTAACTCTAAAAATAGATCAATTAACACACTTTTGTTAGCTGGGAAAGTCACAGTAAATTCTTTTGGGAGGTTCCCTCGACCAAAGAAAGCCTCCAAATTTACCTTCTAGATAAGGGATAAGATGTAAGAATGAATTTGCATTGCATATATATATATATGAGTAAGTTTCTTTTTTTCATTGATATTGTTTGTGGGAATTTGAACACATAAAATTTTGGCGACATTTTCTGTAGTGTCCATTTCAGTTCTATTTTTTCTTGAAAATTTCTATGTAGTGCTAAAGAAGGTATATTGTAAGAACTCTATATTATACATTGGAGGAAAATGGAAAAAGGAGGAAAGATTTGAATAAAAGTAGCGGAGAAAATACGACAAAATGTGAAATTGTAGAGAGAAAAATCACCCATCATTAGGAAAAGTGGATGTTCTCGTGTGACTTTTGACTTTTGCCATTTGAGACACAATTTCTGTCGTCCTCAAGAGATGCCACATGGCAAAAGGGTGGAATTTTTCATCATAATTGAACTGTCAGGGAGCGCTTGAAGAGGGACGGACGAGAGAGACTGCAGAAAATGCAAGCTCAACCACACTGAGCATTACAGTGCAAATGATTTTCATCCATTTCCCAGATTAAGTGCTCTCACGCCAGAGGGATTCCGAATTTGAGCATTCCTGCAGAGTTGTCGGGATCGTCTGAATATTTAAGGGCAACTCATCATTGATTCCACTGTAAAATTTAGGGGCGCATTTCTGCTCCATATTCTTGCTGAGAATCTCCGACAGTGAAGAGGAAAATTTAAACATTCTGCTTTGAATTTCTGTTTCATTTATTTAAGAGCAGATTTTCGGATAAACTAAGGTAACACTTATGGTACTATAAAGAGAGAAGACGTGAAATTACGGGATTTGCTTACTAATTTGCACCGAAAGCTTTCCGAATGGACACAACGATGTTCTCATCCACATGCGATTTACTCATAAAGTCCATTAAATCCGCCAAGTTCTTGCGATCATCAGTCGACATGAACATGGAGAGAATTCTTATCTCATCATTAATCGCCAAGGCGTCCAGAATACTGTGAACGGGAAGATTATTGCTCACAAAATGTCCACACATTGTGGCCAGAAGTTGCGAAAGAAGGCTACTGTCCAGCAGAGGCCCCAATCCCTTAATCACCCCACTATTGGCCGTCACCATGGCCTCTAGATACTGTGCGCGACTCTTCTCTGTGAGATCTTTCCACGTGCTGCAGAACTGGACGGTTGTGCCCGGCACTTCAGGGATCATCTGCTCGTCTTGTGGCGGCGGATCCACCGTCACTTCAGGCTTTTTCAATTTGGGCGGCAGTTTCGGCACAATTTCCTGCCTCGGAGGACTCTCCTTCTTCTGCTCGTTGTACCTGGCCAGATGATCAAACACGTCATCCTCCACATCTTTACTCGTGGACGGACGCGGTGAGAAGGGCAGCGCCAGCATGGAAGTGTTATAATCCAGTACAGACGGTGGACTTGCCGATGGATTAAATTCACCCGTGAAGTTGTTGAACAACTTATCGACAACATGATCAGGAATGGGCTCCGATTCTGTATGATGCTCAACCACTTCAATCCTCTTGAGACTCTTCTGCAAGAAAACATACCATTAACTTCCCTCCTTTTCGCTTTCGTCGCACTATTTACCTTCGATCTGAGGTGTGGCTTCTTCTCCACAAAGTCCACGTCTTTGGCATCCCGATCGAGGCGACTCCACGGCTTCCCAGGGACACCTTTCCAGGCCTCCTCGCGCTTCCTATTGTTGTTTATCTCATCGCGTGACGAGTGATTGCGCTCGTTCTTCAGGCGATTCTTCAGCCTGTCCAGCTCTCGACGGTGTGACAAATTGCTTGGCTCTAACCTCACCACCTGCTCGCAATCCCTGAGAGCAGCTTCCGTGTTGCCCAGAGACTCATTTGCCTGCATTCGCCTGTAGTAAGCCTTCACGCACTGTCTATCCAGAGACAGTGCAATATTGCAATCCTCAATGCATTTATTCTGCCGATCGAGTCGCAGGAGGCACAGTGCACGATTTGTGTAGTAAATGGGGTCATCCGGGAAGATCTCAATTGCGCCAGAATAGAAGTAAATCGCCCCCTCAAAGTCCTTCTCCTTCACACACTTGTTCCCCTTCTCCTTAATTCCATTGGCTACGGTGTGGGGGTCCTCCGCCTTGGGAGCCTCCTCCTCAGTCTCTCGCTTCATCTGACTACGCACGGGCACATCGATATCCTGCCACAAAGGGAGCAACATTGAATTTTCCCCGTCAAACAATGGAAACTTCTCGAGGGAACCTAACCTTATTGTCCTGGGGCTCCGTCTCCTTCTGCTTCATCTCCCGCTGGAAGTCCAGCACCTCCTTCATCTTGATCTTCAGCTCCTCGCAGTTCTGCTCCACTTTCTGCTTGATCTCCAGCTGTTTCTCCACCTCAGCCATTTTTCCCATTTTCCCAAAAACTCCCTGTCGCTGCTGGTCCAACGATGGCCGACGTAGATGGCGCTGCGGCCAGTTGTCAGAAATGCTGTGAGTTCTCTGTTTGGCTGTGTTTTCTCACTCTCACATCACATCACACTGGATCACGCTTTTCCGGGATTTTCTGGCCAAAATCTCCACCAAGAGTCACTAAATATTTGAGAAAATGCAACACTGGTGATCATAGAGCACCGTCACACATTGCATGAGTTGTAAATAGGAGGTAAAACCTGAGAAATCTCTAAAGAATGTAAGTACATTGCCGTGGAGAAATTGATTTCCAGACACTATCCATCAATTCTCCCCACAGATTTCCTCGGAACATGTTCACCACAGATTGTACAGCCATCAAGGACATCCGCCCAGGGCTGAAGAACATCAATGTCGTTTTTATCGTGTTGGAAGTGGGCGCAGCCACTGTGACAAAGGAGAATCGCGAGGTGCGAACATTTAAGATTGCCGACCCAACGGGATGCATCAATTTGTCGATCTGGGACGAGCCCGGGAAGTTGCTGATTCCGGGTGATATTGTACGCCTCACGAAGGGCTACGCCTCCATTTGGCGCCAGTGTTTGACGCTGTACTCAGGCAAGAACGGGGATATTCACAAGATTGGCGATTTTTGTCTCACATTCAACGAACAATTGAACATGAGTGAACCCAATCCCAGCCTGACGGCCATCAGCCAGCCTCAGATGATTGTGAACAATGGAGCAAATCTGGGACCAGTCAGCAGCAACAATGGCACACAGATCGCCGCTCGGACTACACAGGGCAGCAATGGGGGCGCCGGGAGCAGTGGCAGTGGGTCTGTCAGTGCCTCGAAAGCCTCTCGCGTGAGCAATGAGACAAAGTCCAGCACTAAGATACGCACGGGACGCTCCAGCGGCGGTCGGGGGAGTGTGAAGAGCGACAGGAGGTAGTGCCGAGTTGAGTGTGTGCAGGGATAATGTCTATTTATGGAGAAATATACACGGGAATTCCCATTTTCACACAAAAGGCGAGAGCACGGTGAATTTGAATTGCGCGCGCGCTAGAATTTCCGGAGATTCCGGAGTGTCATTGGATTGAGCGCGGCGGCTGAACAAAAAACAGCGCAAAACAAGGTGCGAAAGTGGTGTTTAGGCACAAAAAGTGGAGACTCTTCAAGGAAATAGCAAGACGAGTCAATGCCGATGAGGTAAATTGATCAATTGTGTTTGTATATTTGGCGATTACTCAATGCAAATGACGGGGTGTCGCGGTGCGGCGCGCGGCAGCCGTCAGATGGCCTGTCATCGTGGCCGCGGGATGTTGATATTTCCACGAGGCTTTTCCGGGCTGTTTCGCTGGGTAGCGGTGTGATAGATAGTGCTGCCGATGCAGTTCTAGCCCGGCAATCCAGTGTGTTAGTGGGCCAAGTGTGAAATCAGGCCAGTGGACTTGCAAATGCTTGGCGTGCTAAGTGCTTTTTGATTCGTGTGCACTTTTCAGCCATGGGGCGAGGGGCTTCGATGGCGACACCATTGCTGGGGGAGGATGACGGAGGCGCGGGAGCGCTGTACCTGAAGAAGGTGGGCAGTGCGGTGTTCTACGGAGTGGCTTCGCTGATGATCACAGTGGTGAACAAGAGTGTCCTGACATCCTATCACTTCCCGTCGTTCCTGGTGCTGAGTCTGGGTCAGATGCTGGCGGGAATTACGGTGCTATGGGTGGCGAAGAAGGTGGGCGTGCTGACGTTCCCGGATATGACGAGGGATACACCGCGGAAGCTATTTCCGTTGCCGCTGCTGTACATGGGAAACATGATCTTCGGCTTGGGTGGGACTAAGGCGCTCAGCTTGCCCATGTTCGCTGCCCTGAGGCGATTTTCCATCCTCATGACGATGTTCCTGGAACTGAAGGTACTGGGCATTCGGCCCAGCATTCCCGTGCAGATCAGCGTGTACGCGATGGTCGGCGGCGCTTTGCTGGCGGCCAGCGATGATCTCAGCTTTAACATGGAAGGCTACACCTTCATCATGATTACGAACGCCCTCACGGCCGCCAATGGTGTGTACGTGAAGAAGAAACTGGAGAGCGTGGACATGGGCAAGTACGGCCTCATGTACTACAACTCCCTGTACATGATCCTGCCGGCGCTGCTCATCACGTGGGCCGTGGGCGATCTCAGTAAGTCGGTGGCCTTCCCCATGTGGACGGACCCCCTGTTCACGGTGCAGTTCCTGCTGTCGTGCATCATGGGCTTCATCCTGTCCTACAGCACGATTCTGTGCACGCAGTACAACTCCGCCCTCACCACCACCATCGTGGGCTGCCTGAAGAACATCAGCGTGACCTACCTGGGCATGTTCGTGGGCGGCGACTACGTCTTCTCCTGGCTCAACTGCATCGGCATCAACATCAGCGTGTTGGCCAGCCTTCTCTACACCTACGTCACATTCCGACCCAAGGACACCACGCCGCGCAAGATCCTGCCCGAGAAGATCGAGGCGGTGTAGCAGAGGGTTTCCGCTGGCCACTCAGTGTCATACCAAAGGTGTAGTGCAACTAGCGGTGTTGTAAATATCAAGATGATTAGTGACAATTACTGTTAATCAGACATTGTATTGCTTTGTGACACTAATTTTCGATGCCATTCACACATTTGTAATTTATTGTATATCTCTTTTTACGACCAAGGAAAATTACCACACAAAAATATTTGTGTGCCCGGAGAGATCGCAGGAGAATCTCTGGGATTTACTCTATGAGCTAGACATTATGTAGGTGAAATATACTATATTTACTCAGATGAAACAATATATTCTTTGCTGTGTCCGTTTCCGCCATTCTCATAAATTTCACGGCGTGTGTGATAAGAATATGTTTCGGCAATAAGATGAATCGTTGTTATCTCAAGTGCCAGTCACACATGCTCAAAAGTGTTTCCTCAATCCCCAAGTGAGCTTTGGAAAAAGCCATACCGTCGCACAAATAATGGTTTAATGGGTTTAAGTGAGAATCCGTCCTAAAATAATCACATAGTAAATCTGTCCAAAAAAAATTCTACGTCACTTATCAATTGCAGCCTTTTAGACATAAGAGACGAAAATATTTAAATAACCATAAAAATTGCAAAGATCAAACAATATAATGAGGTTTAATTGCCCATGAATAGAATCTTGCGAACAGGGATTTTATGTGAAAGCAGTAAAACGGTGCCATTGAAATGTCAAATGCCTTGTGGATTTCTTATCACAGCACACCTGCTGCCGTGGCAATTATGCAAGTATTCCGATAACTCCAGAACGCAAATTTTTAAAAATTCATCATTTATCAAGGAATTCATTCTATTCAGTCTAGAGTTCAGGTCTGACAAAATCTAGAAATATTATCTATCGCAGAATGCTCAATAAATTTGAGGATAATAATCATTGAAATATATAATTTATCAAAAGTTTTTTGCTCTCAATCTGCGATTTTCCTAAATATCCTGTTTTCAATCTCATTATCTAAAAGTTGAATTCACAAAGAAAGTAATGAGAATAATTTCAAATTATCAGATAAATAGAAAAAAGAAAAAAGATCAATCCTATCGAGCAGGAAAATTTTTGAAAATCACATTCATATTACAGAAATCGAGATTAATTTTTTTATCAGAAGTTTCTAATGGATAGATATGCTTACAAATAGCGGCGGGTTTTCAGAACGGCCGTTTTATGAGCCTCCGTTTCACTGATGTTGCATGAAACATGAAATGACAACGAATTCGAATTTTTCGGAATCTTATATGATTGTATGCTGCCAACTTCACGATATGACGCCAAAGAGTAATTTGATGGGCTCTTTTTGGCATAATTTGGACAAAATATCAATGAATAATGGCAAAATTTAATTACTAGCAATGCAATTAACTTCTGGAATTGCCCAAGAAGTATGATTTCATAGCTTTTTAGTGGTCCATTCAAATTGGCATTGTGAGTTTCGGAAAGTCGTCAGAATGCGAGCGTGTTGCCAGATGCGATGGCTGTCATTGTGTAGTATCGCGAGAGCGAGGAAAAGGTGTTCTTTTGTGTAAGAATCTGTGAAAAGCGAGCAACTCGGGGTCCAACTGGAACTTCCGGGCACATTGTGGAGGTGCAGTGTGAACATTGGGCGGAAGTGCGCTGGACAGGGAGCGAGTAAGTGTGATTAGTGGCCGAACCACTCAAGTGTGCGTTGAGTGAATCATTTTGTTCTCTCCTTGTGACGATTGGGGCGCTACCATAGGGGCTGAACCGGACTTTGCGACGACCTGGGCATTTCTGTGCAGTGACCATTTGAGGACTGGAGCGGCCGTGGGCAGCAAGAAGAGGTAAAAATAGCGAGGGCAAAGAGGCGATGTGAGTGGCTGACGTGCGACATCTTGCAGGCAGTCTCACCAACACAATCGCCGAAGGAGGCCTTCCGACATTTTGCTGGGGCGACCGGACGTGAGTGGGGCGGTTGAATGGCGTGCGCCACCCTGAAACGCTCCCTCGACTGGGAGTCCATCAATCAGCGCCCGTCGAAGAGGCGCCGCTGCAGCCCGTACGGGGCGAATTCTAGTGCCACAGCGAGTCCCAGCGTGCGTGACGCCGCGTGCGGGTGTGCTACGGAGCCATCATCGTCCCCCTTCGCCAAGACACCTTCGTACCCTATTCTTACGCCGGAGAAGATGGCCCAGACGGTGCACGATGAGATCAAGAGACTCCACAGGACGAAGCAGCTGAGCGCCGTGGCCATTGAACGGATGCAAGACTCAGAGTCGAGTGGCTCGGAGATGGGAAACGACAGCCCGCGGCGTCCGGACACGCCGCCAACCATGAAGAATCCGGACAAGGCTCTCTTCACATTCAAGCAAGTACAACTGATATGTGGGCGGATGCTGAAGGAGCAGGAGGAGAAGCTGCGCGAGCAGTACGATCTCATCTTGACATCCAAGCTCGCTGAGCAGTACGATGTCTTCGTCAAGTTCACGTACGACCAGATACAGAGGCGCTACGAGGCGGCTCCCAGCTACCTCTCCTAAGGCCATCCTCGCACCGCGAAGGCTGGATTCCACTCCGGACATCGAAGCGACACACACACACACACACACACACACTTACACACCGGATCAGGCGGAATGACAGACATTTTCGTTACTTTTTCTACACACACACACACACATTATATAAATTAGAGGATATAGAGTTTAGCGGACGTTGGGAGGCCCTGCGCCGCCCAGGGCAAAGGATATCGCGTAAATTGACACATACTTGGTAATTGTGCGGAGGCACACCCTCTCCGGATGTCAGGGAGTGCGAGAAGCACCAGCTAATGGGCGGAGGAACGAGGAGCGATGCTCGCGCGGACTGCAGAGATGCGATGATAATGATGAAAATTAATCATTTTAGTGAGGATAAGGATGATGATGATAGAAATCGTTTTAAGGCCCCTTTAAGGAATATCGAGACATTTTTTGATAATAATCTCCACACACGATGGACTTATTCTTGAATTTATATAAATTATTTTGTGCCCATTTGCATATAACTTTTGTTTTCTAATCTTATCCATTTGCCATTTATCTCTCTCCCTCTCTTTCACACTTCACATTGAAAACACACAATTTTTCCTCCCTTCGTTTTTTTGTATGTGCAAAATCGAAGGCAAAAGAGGCACGCAAGGTTCGCGCTTTTGAGATGAAAGAAAAAAAAATAATATGAAACAATAAATGTGTACATTGAGAAAGTAATATTTTCATACGGAACAATTCGCCACAATATTTGCTCCCCAATAGAATAAATGAATAGCAGGAGAGAAGAAAAACAGTGAGAATGAAATATGAAACCAATAGAGCAGCTAAACAGAGGGAATAAATAAAAGCAAGGGAAGGATTTTGCGCAACAGAAGATGATAAAGTCATTGAGATAAAATACCACAAGTAGTAGTTTTGTGCCTAACTCTTATGGATTACACACAACATAATAATTGCTATATTATTTTATAATGAAGAGAAAAAGGAGAGGACATAAGTGAAGAAAATTAATAATTATACAAGAAAAAAAATACATGAAATTCATAGTAAGTAAGTCTATGTAATACCAATAAAGATACCGCAAGTAGAAGTGTCTTATTATTTGCCATTTTATCCATTTCATGGAGAGTTTTTCGTGATATCTCTCATTAAAGCTTCCTTGTGTTGTTTTTAGGTCTTTGAGAGGGATTTCCCTGTTCGGGCGATTGCAGGGATTCAGAAGATTATCTGTGGAGTCGACAGGACGCTTCGAAGATGACTTTCACATGAGAAAAATCCCGGTGACAGAGACTCAGAGGAAGATTCTGTCCATTGGATCCTCAGTGGCGGCATTGTTGGATCCAAGAAGGTTTTTGCACACCTGCAAAAGTGTCCAATTACCACTAAATTGATGATTTCATCCGTTTTAGGCACGATATGATAGCGTGTCTGGGCGAAACAACAGGCGAGGTGGCACTGAGGCGCATCCACAAGGAGATGAAGTCATGCGAAGAGGGCCTGCAGATCCTCGACGATATGCCACGCATCAATTCTCGCACTGTGGACCTCGAGAGCCTGGGAAAACTGCCCGCAGATACATTTGGTCATCACTATTGGAAATTCCTGAGTGACAATGTTGTAATTCTTTCTGATAAGCTATCGCATTATGAGGATTAAGGTGTCTTTCTGGGTTTACAGAAGGTCACGCCAGACTCGAGGATGGAGGTGAGATTCCTGGAGGACGCCAAACTGGCATACGTGATGACACGATACCGAGAGTGTCACGATTTGATTCACACCGTTTTAGGGATGCCCACAAATATGCTTGGAGAAGTGGCTGTAAAGTGGGTAGAGGCACTTAATACCGACTTGCCAATGTGTTGGGGTGGAGCCGTATTTGGGGCAGCCAGACTAAGGCCAAAGTAAAGATGCGGAAGTGCCATCAAAAAGAGCCCTCTTTAACGGTTTTTTCTTCTACAGGCAACGGAAGATGTATGTGCAGCATTACTTACCGTGGGCGATTTCTGTGGGAAAAGCCGCCAAGCCACTGATGTCGGTGTACTGGGAGAAACGCTGGGAGCAGAGAATTGATGAACTGAGGGATGAATTGCAGATAAAAATGCTGGAAATTCATGAATAAATTTGTATTATGGATGATGCTATAAAATTTGAATGGAGTGTTTATAAAGAGTGCGCTGCGATCGCGCTTGCGCTGTCAATGAAAATCATTCAAAAAACAAGCGTTCAGTGTGTGCGTCGCTCAATGCAAATTGATGAAAATTCGTGAAAATGGATGGAAAAGAGAGGAAGCGGGATAACAAAAGATCATCGGTAAGCGGTGAAGTGGTGATTGATGATGTGGGATTGGTGAAAAGTGTGAGATTCCTTGCAGATTCTGAAGAAACCCTGCGATCCTGACACCTCGGATTGTACGGCGGATACGAAGACAAAACTCATCCGAAGGATCAGTTTTTCCGGGAAGAAATCCGTCAAGTGAGATAATTTGCGGTATATTTTGCCTTGTCGCATGCCTAAAGATCATTTTTGTAGGGAATTCATCCAGGATGAGGACAAAAACACAGTTTGGGGCACTTCCTATGAGGAGTCTGCAGAGTCCAATGTCCCGTTGAACAATTCCAGCTTAGAGAAGAAATATGAGGACAACAATATCTCAGTGGCCATGGAGATTGACCCTGAATTAGCAGTACATCATCAGATGGATCCGCTTAACAAAGAGAATGAGATTCCCGATGTCACCATTTGGTCTGGTAACATCAGCAGAAAGGCGCCTCTGGCCAGTTCAACAATGCTTGGAGACACTGAAATGGACATCTCATTGAGAGATCAGCCCAATGTGAGAAAAGAGAGCTCCAAGCAGTTCATGAAAAGTCCGCCCAGGCTGCTCAAGACGAATCCTTTTGCGTGGCTGGCGGATCCCAAAGTCGTGGGAAAGGATGCATTGTCTGAGTGCACATTTGTCCCCAGTCCTCTCACCCAATCGCAAATGATGAGAGAAAGCACGTGCAATTTCAATATATCATCACTCCATGATGACCTCAAAGAGAACCAGAGCAGGCTGAAAGTAATGGAAATGAATGAGAAATTGCGTGGTTATGCTGAGCAGGATCAAATAAGCCTGAACTTTACTGAGATCTTTCCTGACAAGAAGAGGAGGCAGCTTTCGGATGAGTATCACCTAGAGCTCACTGAAATGACAGAAAGAAAGATTTCTAATCTGCCCGAAGTGAGTAAAACTGGCAGACGGACAATTTATTTCACTAAGGAGGACAATGAGATGACTGTGTGTGAGAATCCAGATGGAAATCGCACCAAAAATCTGCAGAAAACCATACACTTTGCTTCTGATGGAGAGCAAATGAACATATCACGTTATCAAGATGACCAGAAAGGCAATCGAAGTGTGAGATGTGTGGAAATGGAGATGTCCCTGAACACTCCAACTACTGAAATCAGTAAGCAAGACAGGAAGACGAGGAAGACCGAACTTTTCTCAGCGGACAACAATCAAATGAATCTGACGGATACTAAAGTGTTATTCAATACAGAAGGTCTTGAGAAGACAATCCAGAAAAAGCGTAAAACAACAGTTTTTTCTCCTAACGACAATGATATAGATATTACTGGCGTGTCTGATGAGAGAACAGTCCAGGGAATGAGGATATGTCATCAGGATTCGATAAAACTGATCAGGAAGGACAGAAAGACAGTTTACTACTCTCCAGAGGACAATAACATTGATGTTACTGGTTCTTCTGGTCAGGATCTTACAGATGAAATGGATATTTGCACACAGGAGACAAAGAATGTGACAAGTAAGGATCGGAAGTCAGTCTACTTCCGTCCTGGTGAAAATGACATGATTATCACTGGAGTTTCTGTCCAGAATCCTGAACGTGAAATTAGCATTACTCCTCAGGAGACGGCGAAGGCGGCAAGGAAGGATCGCCAAACAGTTTTCTTCCCTCCAGAAAATAATAGAATGAATATCACAGAAGTTTGTGATCAGGAAATAAGCCTTTGTTCTCAAAACACTGGCAAAGTGACAAGTGCGGGTAGAAAAACAGTTTATTTCTCTTCTGATGGCAATGAGATGAACATGACTGGTATTTCTGGTCGGGAGCCTCAGCAGGAAATGAGCATTTGTCCGCAAGATGCAAATGATGTGACTAAGATGGATCGCAGAACAGTTTATTTTTCCACAGAACGCAATGGTATAAACATTTCTGGAGTTTCTAATCAGGATCTCCAACAGGAAATGAGCGTCTGTACTCTTGAGACGAAGACTGTGACAAATAAGGATCGGAAGTCAGTATACTATCGTCCTGGTGAGAATGACATGAATATCACTGGAGTTGTACGACAGGAGCTTCAGCAGGAAATGAGCATTTATCCCCAGAGTACAGAGGAGGTGGTAAGAAATGATCGCCAAACAGTTTTTTTCCCTCCAGAGAATAATGGAATGAACATCACAGGAGTTTCTGACCAGGAATGTCGCCCGGAAATGAGTATTTGCCCTCAGGAGATGGAGAGTAAAACAAAGAAGGATCGTAGAACGATTTATTTCCCTTCTGGTGGCAATGAAATGAACATCACTGGAGTTTCTAGCGAGGAACAAAGCATTTGCAATCAGGGCATGAACAAAATTGGGAAGATTATTTGCAGAACAAATCTCTACCCTGCCGAATGCAGTGAGATGAATATCACAGGTGTTTCTGGTCATGAAATGAGTATTTGTGTTCAGAATGCGGTGAAAACAGACAAGAATAACCGTAGAACAGTGTTCTTTCCACCTGGCAAAAACCAGATGAATCTCACTATGAACATTGATGAGAGTGATGGGAAATCTGTACAGGAAATGAGAATCAGTCCTGAACCATATCGAGATGCTGTTTGGTTCGACCGCCGTTCAATTCCTCATGAGTTAAACACGATGAATGTGTCCGAAGTTCATAGTCAATTGCCAGCGATGGACATGAGCTATCTAGCTCAGAAATCTGAGAAGGATCAGATGGAAATTGAGAATGAGAATCCAATTATTGGTGGAGTGAGAAGGAAAATGAAGGACGGTGATAAAAGATTAACTCACGAGAGTCTGGAGAAAAGTTTTGGGCAACAAGAGACTGAAGAACTTCGATCTACGATGGAAAAATTGGATATTCAACCCACTGATGCATCTCTGAAGAAGGAAAATTTTGGTGAAATGCCCGAAGATTGGAGTAAAGCCAACTGTTCGGTCCAGAATTCCACAGTTTCTTGTGAGATGATGGAAGAGTCGAAGTTATCAGACACGAAGATGCTCATGGAAGAGTCTTATGTTGAAGCTGCTAGTATTATGGACAATACATCAGCGGATATGCACGCCTCGCCAAATATGACGCTGGACAACACAATCTTTCGTGTCACGAAAGTTGTTCCAGAACTTGGGGAATGGCGTCCTCGTGAGGTGCCGTCCAGAAATATCCGTCGAGAGACATTTACAATTCATAAGAACTCTAGGAAGAGTGAAGTGGAAGTGGACATTCCTAAAAGTCTTTCATCCACCATTGAGTCTGTGAAGATAAGTTCAAATCGTTCATTGACTTATGAGAATACGACTTTGGGCTCAATATTCATTGAGAGTGAGCATGAACGCTCAGGAGCACCTGTGGAATTGCATCAAGTGACTCAACCTGATCAATCGCTAGTGGACTTCTTGGGAAGTGATTTGTTCGAGATACTGAGTAATGTGCGTGGAGCGAAAGCACAGGCTCTGGAGGTCCGAGAACGTGTCTTTCATGAGTACAACACCGTGAAGCAGCATCTGGAGTATTTCCATAAGTGCCCCAACCGATTTCAGCTGCCGCTGTGCCCGAACTATAGAGATCTCGTTGGAAACATGGTGGAGAATCACTGCCAAAGCATCTGGTTCATCGACAAATTCATGGACAAGGGCCTAATGATGTTCAAGCATCGGAAGATCACAACCTTTGAGATCCACATGAAATTCCAGCCGCGGCTCCTCAGGAACATGGATTACGTGCAAAATCGTGGCTGTTTGGTCTTTGATAGCATTGAAGTTCGGGACACGGATTGGTACATCGGCAGAGGTGAGTTGTAAGTTGTTTCGTGGTATTGAAATAAGCTAAAGAATGCTTATTCTTGCAGATCCTGCGACGAAATCCAAGCTGTGGATCTATCTGCACAACAAATTCCGCCGTCAAGTCCTTATGGATTCCTATTTGTTGAACAAATACCGCCACTCAAACGATCTTCGAGACTTTCTGCAATACATCGATAGGATCTGCTGCGATATTTATGCTGCGAGGCCCAGGGCGGTTGAACTCATTAGGATGTTCAAGAATGGGGAACTAAATGCGTGAAATATGATATGATATGGAATATTGTGTGTAATTGTAATTATAAATGAATTAAATTTAAATAATGAAATCTGAGAATTGAGTCAAGCTTCAGTTGGTATTTGAATTTGCCCCTCAGTCGCACCGTACGCCACCTGGTGAGCGCTGCTATGGCATCAGCGCCGCCAATGCGGATTGTCAGCGCAGTGGCGGAGAAAAAATTGCACGGGTCGCTCACGCAGGTGAAAAAGTAGCGTTTTATAGTGAAAATAATCGTGTGGCATAATGCGTGTGTGCACAGAGTCATAGGTGACGAGTTGTGTGACTCGTGAGTGTTGTTATTTACTCGATTAGAACACTCTAGCGCGTGTAAGGAGCTTGTAAAGTGATTTCGCCCACCGCTGGTGACAGACGAAGGGAATTCAGTGGCGTTCCACCATGGCGACCCTCCTTCAGGTATAATGCGGAGTTTTGTTGTCTAAAATGCTGCGTCCACTAGCGTAGAAGCTTGTGAGGGCGTTCTGTGTGTTGTTTACAATTTTCACAGGGATTTTGTGCGATTTTCCGAATGTCATTTTTCCACATACTGAAAAACGACAATAGTCAAAAATGGCTTCTTGAGGATAGAAGATGCCCTCTGATTGGTTGATAGCGGGTGCATGGGAAAATTGCATTTTAATTAGTTTTGGGGGAAATTCCATGACTGAGCTTATGAAGAGGGATGCTTGTGGGGTTTTTCGTGGACTTCTTTAATTTTCTTGATAGGCACATATCACACAAAGGGGCTCAAATGCGGGAAAAATGCTGAGAGATGTGTGGCTTTTCAGCAATGGCGGCCAGAGTGGCAGCCAATGAGAGAGCTCGTACCATCGCTGCGTCCATTTTCTGAGCATATTCTTCGCGTCTCTCAGTGGAAGTGGAGAAAAAGTGAGACTTTATCGTGCGTGTGTGAAATTTTCTACAGAATTTTACCAAATTCTTGACCCGTGGTGGGCATTTTTGAACGCATGTCGAAAAAGGAAGCCGCCACAGGTCGCATGGTGTAGACGATTTTCCGGGAGAGTGTTGGGAAAAGGTGGAAATTGCGTGTAAAGCCGTGGCAATGACTACGTCGATTGCGGGAGTCGAGAGAAAATTTGATTATGATGAAATTCATCTTTGCACCATTGATTGGCGGTCAGAAAGGCAAAGTAGGTGATTTACTACACTCTATTTTCATGCGGATTTTCAATAGGAGCCCCAAGATGGGCTTCCGGGGATGATTTGACGGTTGGTGTGTAACAAAAGAAGGACCACGAGAGTCTCGACATAGCGTTGTGAAATCTGGGACGTCCCAGGGAGAGTGATTTTGTGCGCAAAGTTCACTTTCTTCGGCTCTGCAGAGTTTCGAAGGAAAAAAGCACACTTTTCCGCACAGTTAACAGTCATCTAATCGCTGTCCTTTTTTCCTTGTTTTCAGCCCGCGAAATAGGTAGGAATTTGTGATTTTCCTGCGACGAAGATAAGCGGAGGTGCGGGAGAAAGCCCTCTGCCGATGGTCCACATGTTAATTATCCATCGAAAATATAAACAAACTCCATACGTAAAAAAGTGACATTGACAGTGAAAAAGTGACACTTGCGTGAGAATTCCCCTTTCCCGGGGAAGCCGGACTGAAGTTGCCAGGAAGTGGTGAGCAGGCGGGAAGAGACACCGCGTGAAGGATGTCGGGGCGGGGTGGAAAGCGGCGTGGGAGGCCACCCAAAACCCCCGTGGTGGAGAGAGCGTCCAAGTTCCAGTACCACTTGATGAAGAAGCCCAAGTATCTGCTGAACAAGGGCTCAGATTCGCAAATGAGTACACCGTCAGCTTCAAGGGCATCGTCGCCACAAGGCAGTGACGGCAGTCGCAGGAGCACCTTCAGGGCATCGGCGTCCAAGACTCGGAAGACCCGCGGCGGAGGAACTTCCAGCCGACGAACAACACACTCAGCGTCGGTGTATCAGCGAAAGGGTGAGTTCTTCCACAATGTGTAATTTAGTAATGCAAGAGACTGAGGCCTCGATGTTGGTATCAAGATAAGGATCAAAACAACAAATACTTTTAAGATCATGATTTCCTTCCACACGTTGCTCGACATTGCAAGCGTCAGCAAGTTTTTCGTGATAATGAAGTGATTTTGTGACTTGCATTCTCGAGATAGATCATTTATGCATCAGTTAGGAAGTTTCAAACTTAATTACTTCATAGCATTCCGTAGAGAAATGCAATTCTGATTGAAAAATATTGATTTTCAAAATCTGTAAGACATAATTCACACATATAATATCTTTCAGGCTATGAATCGGAATATCATTATGGCTCAGATTTTGGAGATTCCACGGACAAGAGTGATATTGAGGATGATCCACTGCTAATGTCGCCATCAGAAACCGACAGTCTTGACGCGGTGGATCACGAGAGTGACAGTGACTTCTCGTTGAGCAGTTACAGCACTAATAGCAATCACGTGAGACGAGGTCCTCGTCCGCCCAGTCCAGAACCTCTGTGGCTGCAGGCGCGCGAATTGCCGCCACTTGAATTGCCGGCCACGTCGGATGACTTGCTCGTGCCGCAAGCATATGCACTCAAAGTGGCGTCCATCTACGAGGTGATGCGACGATTCAGGAACCTCGTAAGACTCTCACCATTCCGCTTGGAGGACTTTTGTGCGGCTCTCATGTGCGATGAGCAGAGCAATCTCCTGACTGAGATCCACATGATGCTACTGAGGGCTATTCTACGCGAAGAGGAGGCACAGGCGACACATTTTGGACCGCTGGACCAGAAGGACAGCATAAACATCTCCATCTACTTGATGGACACATTCTCGTGGGCGGAGGTGATGCGAAAGTATGTTGAGAGTGATGCGAATTTCGACAGAAATGTGTTGAATATTCTCACCACGAAGGAATATCCTTTCTGTGGCATCGACGATCGGATGGCGGTGCTGCAATTCCTCGTGGATCAGTTTCTCATAACAACACCCGTGAGAGATGATATGCTGCAGGAGGGTCCCATTCACTATGACGATCACTGTCGAATTTGCCATCGTCTTGGGGACTTGCTGTGTTGTGAAACGTGCCCAGCGGTCTTTCATCTTGAATGCGTGGATCCGCCACTGGTGGATGTGCCAACGGAGGATTGGCAGTGTAGTATTTGCAAGATTCACAAGATATCCGGCGTGATGGATTGTGTATCGTCGCAGGAGAAGCAGGGCGTTCTCTGTCGCCAGGAGCACTTTGGCTTCGATCGACACGGTCGGAAGTACTGGTTTGTGGCGCGTCGACTGTTTGTGGAGAACGAAGAGGGCACGGAGATTTGGTACTACACCACGGTGAAGCAATTCGAGAGACTCATGTCGAAGTTGGATGAGAGTGAATTTGAGATGTCACTGTGTCATGAGCTTAATGAACACAAGGAGGAGATTGTGCGACAGATGACACTCACGGAAACGCTGACGAATCAACACAAGGGCGGCAAGAAGTCATATCTGGAGATTGAGAATGCGAGCATTGAGAAGGTGCAGAAGGAGGAGGGCCAGGAGAATGGTCAAGAGGCGGAGAAGTCCGAAGAGGAGAAGAATGACGAGAGTGAGAGCAATTCCACAACAGAAATGGACGTTGATGGTGAGTGTATGAACAATAATGGAACAGCAAGTGGGGTGAAGGTGATTAAAAACATGGTGACACGCTCAAAGGCCACCCCAATGAGAGATGGTAAGAATTCTGGGGATGATACGATGGAATCTAGTCGTATTACGCGACATCGTCTGAGTCAGATAGCATCTGGAACGCTGTACTTTAAGTTGGGCATGGAGAATTCCTTCCGCACGTATGTGAATCAATACACTACAAATATCAATGCACTGAATAAACCGCAGAGAAATGAGGAACGTGACAAGAAGAGGCATTTGTCACACAAATTCTCTCTGACACAGGCGTCTGAGTTCAAATGGATTGGTGCAGTGAGTGCCACACAGATAAATATTGTGACAACACTGAGGGCAACATTCCTGGCATTGGAGCAAAACATCTCAGCGCCATACTTGCATCCCAATTGGATAAATATAAGAAAGACATGGGTCTCTGCCGTGGCCAATTGCAATCAACCTGTTGAATTTTCGCGGGCACTCATTGTTTTGCAAGCATGCATGAAGAATGTCCTGTTTGCCAATGTGTGGCACGAGCAATTGGGTCACTTGAAATTGTACAGAATCACATCTGGTGAGCGCGAGGAGAAGAAGAAGCTGGAGAAGCGTGAGAAGAGAGAGATGGCCGATGAGGAGGAGAGAAATCGCATGACATACAACTTTGTCAAGTATTCACTGGGACTGAAGCACCAGGTGTGGAAGCAGAAAGGGGAGGAATACAGAATTCATGGACAATGGAGCTGGATTTGGATGTCATACAGTCGTCGACAGGGACGTGCGATTAATGAGGGGCGCGACTGTAATGTGCCCAATAAGGTGATGACGAGACTGAGTATGTCGGATGGAAGTGAAAAGATTCTGGCATTGGAGCCAAAGTCCTATGATTTTTTGAAGAACACTGATTTGGCTAATCCTCTCAATTCGTGCATCCCTGAAAATCTACGAGGTGCAACAATTCAACCAGTTGTGGACAATTTTGACAATATCAATGTCTCTCAAGCGTTGACGTCCTATGGACGCTTGTTGTATCCAAAAGTGGCGAAGAAATCCCGCTTGGATGATCTTCTACAGCGCCGCGTTCATTTGCGGGACATGGAAGAGCGCTCGATGAATCGTGCGAAGGGAGAGATGGACGTCGAGAGTTCACCTAATGTGCCCAAACACACGATAGCCGGACCCAAACTGGGAATTGTGCCGGATTTGGGAATTGTGAAGCAGCCCAATAACATTCAGAAATCCGGACAGATTGGAGCAGCCAATGCAGATATGTTGAGCAATTTGTCTAAGAGAATTGATGCTGTGCGCTCTCACTATGGTCAACTGAACAAGGCCTCAAAGATGTTCCAGTGCTACAGTCAAGAATGCAACAATGCTTCTAATGTGGTACTCACAAAGCCCAACAATTGCTACTCGCCACTTTGTCTCCAGAAGGATCGGGTGCGACGGGAGTTGCTGGCGCTGACGAAAAGAGCTCATGGTCAAGGCAATGTGACGAATGTGGCGGTGGGCAAGAAATCATCAATTCTGGAGCAGAAACTCACTGAGGGGCGTTTCGAGGAAAGCTTTGAGGAGGAGGATTTTCCCACGATGATTAAGAAGTCTCTGGAAAGCGCTTATCAGACAATGCGTGACTACAATGATGAAGCCATTCAAGCGTGCATCAATCAAGTGGATCCGGAGGAGCCTGTAAAGGTTGAGAATGAGGTGAAGGAGGAGAAGATTGAAGAAAAGCCTGTGGAGAAAATGGAAGTTGATCCAGAGCCACCGGCAGCAGAAGTGGAAATACCTGAAACGCCAACCACAGCAAATGGTGAGTCTGACGCAAAGAAGCCTAAGTTGGAGGAGGAGGAGAGCGATCAGAATTCCAACTCAACGGATGCTACGTCGAAGGAGGATGATAAGTCAGGGAGCGGCGAGAAGGAGGAGAGCGTAGAAGCGCCACCGAGAAGGACACCTCGTGGTCGGCCGCCCAGGATTAGTCGCAATCTAACAACTCAAACTACCACCACAACAACAAAGACAACGTCAAAGTATGTGGATGGGAATTTGTCTAGTTACCAGTCCGAGTCCAGCGTCAAGACGCAAACTGTTGAGAATCAGGAGGGCGTGAAGAGTGTCACGACAAGTACGGTGAACTCTGTGAGTGGGAAGACACAGTTTGTTGAGCGGCAGAATCGACGCTTTGCCACGACGAAGACTGTGAAAAAGGAGGAAGTGACGAAGGTTGAGAAGGAATATGGCCCTAATGGTGTGGAGAGGGTATTCTCAACGAAATCCTGCCGCGGTAGGATTTATTTGAAGCGCTATGTCACTGAAGCGGCAGAGACAAAATCCAAACAGAAGCCAACAACAATCAAGTATCCAATGACGGGTGATTTCCTCACGAAGCAAGGATCGCGATCCATATTGATACTGCCAAAGCATGAACTGATTCGATTGGCACGAAGTGGCGGAAGGAATTTCGTTGTTGGATTCCATCAGATGACGAAGAATAACACATCAATTTGGCCGTATCCGTGTTCGAGACCGTTATTCCGCACATGCTGGATTTACAGGACAATCAATGTGAAGACATTGAGTGCTGTGGCATTGCAGCTGAGGATCCTGTGGACTTGTCTTCGGTGGGATGATATGATTACTAAACCACCGACTACAGATGGGAAACATCAGGTATATTTCACATTGTGCACCGCATTGAGCTATAAGGGAACGCTGCTAATTGTAAATTTTCATTTATTCAGATTACCACAGAGACTGAGATAATGTCACTGGAATTACTGAAACATCGGTATTTGGGGAAATTTATGGAGCGAACGCAGTATTTGAGACGTAAGGTTGTGATACCACTTGAATTGCCGAAAGCGGTGCGCGAAGTGACATCAATTCGGTCGGGATTGAGGAAGCGTAAGAGAGCCGAATCACCTCAGCACACAGAGCCTCAAGTCACAGAGGAGTGGGTTGATGAGGAGAAGTTGGAATTGTGGGAGATTAAGTTGTATGGCGAGAGGTATGAAAGGTTTTATAATTGGTTAAGTAGAATATTCACGATGTTTGTTTATATTCACAGACAAGAGAAGGCGAATGCATTGCCGGTGACGCGTCAATCTACAGGAAAATTGCCACCGGCGAGACAAATGGACTTGCAACATGGTAGCAATTCATCATCATCGAGTGGTAGTGGGACGAAGACAATTATTGTGAATAGTAATGCAACTCCGGAGGAGATTAAGGCAAAGATGGAGGAGCAATTGCGCATTCAACGCGCTGCTCATCATCAAAAGCGCGCTATGGAATTGAAGGCACAAGGTAAGAAAGTTTCTTTCTCATTCTCTCTACTGACTGGAAGATTGCTTTCATGTTTGATTTGATTTCCAAGCAAACAAAACTAGAGCGGAGGATGAGGCTTCAAAGAATCCAGGTAGAAGAAAGATGCTTGCTCTTGTGAAGCTGAATCTGACTATATATGTATTTTATGATGTTGAAAGTCATGTTGATTGCTAGAGGAATTTATATTGACTTTGATTTGTCTTTTCAATGTGTTTTAGGTGGAACTGTTTCGACGGGAAGGGTAATAAAGAGTCGCAATATCCTTGTGAAACAAGCTGATGGAACGACGAAGATAATTCAGCAGCAAATTGTGAAGCAGCCAGAAACACAAAAAGTCCAGATTATTCGGACGCCTGATGGGAAGGTGTGTGTGAAGGGATTGAATCCGGGTCAGCAGCTTTATCAACTGCCAGATGGGAAGATTCAAGTTATCAGTAGTCCAGGTAAGATGAGAATTTGAGTGGGAAGTTAGATGAATGGTACTTGATACTAAAGGTGATTTTTTTGCAGTTGGAAATAATGCTGCTGGGAATAAGGCAAAGACTTTGATTGCCAGGGCTATTCAGCAGAGTTCGGGAACTTCTTCTGGTTCATCCACAGTGACTCGCCATCAGGTGACGCCAAAAGTTGCCGTGTCATCGAAAGCCATTGCGAGTCCCGTTCAACCGAAAGCAATTGGCCAGAAGATTCAAGTGACTGGCAATCAGATCATCAGTTCTGGTGGAGTGGTGAAGCAAGTGATTTCGACCTCACAGGCGGGAAGTGTGCAGAAGATTCTCACTAGTGGACAGATTGTGGGCAGTTCGTCGGTGCAACAGCCGAGTCAGCAGAAGATTGTCACCACGTCGAATCTGCAGCAATTATTGCAGCAGACTGGTGGGCAGAAGTTGGTGTTGAGCCAAGGACAGGGCCAGAGGATTCTCATAACGCCGGCGGGACAGCAAATTGCGCAGACCGCGACGACGGGTCAGCAGATTATTGTGCAGCAATCGCAAGCGCCGAGCGTGCAACAGCCACAGCAACAGCAGCACATTGTGATCAATCAGGGCAAGGTGCAGCAGGTGATTGGTGGTGGACAGCAGCAGATCATTGTTGGTGGTCAGAGGATTTTGTTGAATCCCGGTCAGCGGATTGTCACGTCTCAGGGTGGGCAACCGGTGCAGCTTCAAGTGCAGGCGACATCGGCACAGCAACCGCCAGTGTTGGCGGCCGCAAGTACACCAACTGTTGTCCAGGCGAATTCCACGCAGCAAACCGCTGTTCTGGCTTCACCATCGCAGCAGCCGCAGCAACTTGTGATTCAGAATGCCAATCTGGCTCAACAGTTTGCTAGTGGAAAGCTTCAATTGGCTACAATCAATGGTCAGCAAGTGTTGCTCCGTCCTTTGGCTGGCAATCAGGCGCAGATTGTGGCTCACGTGAAGCCACAAGACACCTCAACGTCGACAGTGGTTGTGGGATCGAGCCCGACGCAGCAACAGCAAGTGTTGGCATCACCCACACAGCAAATCACATCTCCACCGACCACACCGCAGAAGGTTGCTGCTCCCATCTCACCTCAATCACCGGCCACGTCCAGTGGGCAGCAGCAGACGAGTCAGACGATAGTGTCGCCGAACATAGAGCACTCTCTGCTGAAGGGACAACCACCGGGCACGGTGATAAAGTGTGTGACGGCGCAGGTGATTCAGACAGCTGCCGGACCGAGGATTGTTCTGCAGGGCTTGGCGAACAATGACTTCACGCCGCAGCAATTGTCTCTTGTGCAGCAACAAGTGAAGCAGCAACTTCTAAAAGGTGAGAGAGAGAGAAAATTTTTAATTGTCACAGACAGAAATATTGATCATGTGCGATGGGTTTGTTGCAGCTCAAGAATCGAGTGGGAAACAGGGTGTTCTTGGACCAACAAAGATCTATCTCGCCGTGCAGCCGGCTACGCAGCAGGCGCAGCCGCCACCGTTGGCTCCTGTCCAGAGCAAATCAGACATCTCGTCGCAACATCAAGTAAGTGTTTAGAGATCAATTAAGCATATACAACAATAGAGTGTTTAAGAACCTCACCTTTAAGAGCACTGAGAGAAGGAAAATGCGAGGAAAAAGACCATGGATGTCGACTCTTCTAATCTAGATGATTTATACATTTGCTCTAACACTTCTTTAAGGATGATGTGAAAAGGTTGAGGGACTGCATTTTGTCTTTCCTCATTGCATTGCATTTATTTGTAGTTGTTTGTTCCTTCATGTCTCTGTTTTTTTTATATATACATATATGTATCTTCTGTTTGTCCAATTTTTTCCTCGTATTGACTTTATAGTGATGATGAACAATGCTAAAAAAAAGTATACAATACATTCTCATTCGCCTAATCATCATTATGTTATCAAATATTCTTACATCATTTCTCTTATTTCTCACATGTGGAAAATAATTTTTTCATGCAGACTTTCTCACGTTCCATTGACATTTTATTTTTTTGTATTGTGAGAGCATCTCGAAGAATTGATGATATGAAAAAAAAAAATTTTGTATTTACAATACAATAAAAAATTATTGATATGAGAGTAAAAAATTGTATAGATGAACCATTTTGGTTTAGTTTTAATGATAAAAATTATTATTTAAGGAGGAATTTAACGAAATTTTTATAATACAGAGAGTAATAAAGAGAGGAAAAATTGTTAGATACACGAATTAGTTAGAAGAACAAAGGTTTTGAAAGTGACGCTGAGAGTAAGGAAGTTGAATGGTAGAATGCGTGCAATAATTTTAGAGAAATCGCGCTGAAAATCACTGAAAATATTATAAAAGTTTCGTTCCAATAGCATTATTTTAAAATTTAATGAAGCAAGAAATAGCGTTAGATTGTGTCTTATATATAGATAAAGATCAACAATATATTAAACAATAATGTTATATATTTTATACATTTTACCAAATGAAAAGATAACTAAATGATTTGTATTAATATATTTTTTTGAATTCCACTTCTTATATGAAAATCATGTTTTATATTGGTTTATCCCTAAATTTCTCATAAGTTTTTATTTATTTTTGAAAATATTGTGACGAGACATAAAAAGATATATTGATTGAAGGCATTTATAAGATTAAATTGAGAATAATTATTCAGGAATATCACACTTGTATGAAACTAAAACTACTGAAAAGAGAAATGTATTTTAAAACATCACACAATGAGGAGCGAATTTGTAAGTATTTTGCAAAGACTTAAATGCCAAAAATGTGATATTGTAGTCATGACAGGAAGTAAAGGTATTTAGTACGTTTTACCAAGATAATGAGAATCGAGAGCGAGGCGAGGCGAGGGCGTTTATCTAGCAGAAGCAAACTTCAAATTTAGGAGTTGTTCCACTATTTTATTTCTACTACTGAACTAGACTTTACTTATCAGTCACATTAATCACATAATTTTGATTAGTTGATTGCATAAATGGGAAGCGGAGAAGAGAATTAATCAAAGAATTGAATGTGTAGTTTGCACAGTAATAACACTATAAAAGAAGAAATAATTGTAGACGCATATACATGATGATTAGGTTATTTAATTTTGATGAAATGAAACGATAAAAGAATGATAATTTTAATACGAAAAAATGCAAAAATAAGAGAAAAAAGAAAAGAGAAAGATAAATTTAAGGATCATAAGATTATTATAATTGTAAAATTGTGAGAATTTTACGAAGGGACGGCATTTTTGGCAAAGCTTTTTCTCTCATTTATTTTTTCTATTTTTATACTATATACATAATAGCTGGTAAAGTACCTTTTTTTAGATAAAACATCTCTATTCATCTTTATTTATTCTTTTTTATAACACATTGTGTCTTTTTTCTATCTAATCTGCTCATATCAATAATTTTTGTGTTATAAAAAATCATCTCATTTTCTTTAACTGGAAATACATTTTTCTCAAGAAAAAAAAAAGGTGGTAGGAAGAGGAGATTAAAATAAAATAAAATATTGTTGATAGAACAAAAATTCTACCTAAATATTTAATATGAAAAGACATTTTAATGTTTTGCATAACATTCTCAAATTTATATTAATTTGTCTGTCGCATCAAGCATAATGTTTTTTTATTACTTTATATTTGTCCCCCTAAAATATGTCTAAAAACACGAGGCTTTTAATTTTTTTTATTTCATTTTTGCGATAAAATTTTTTCATTTTTTGTATGAAATTATACCTAGATATGACATTCCTTTCTTATATCAAACAAAACAAAAGAAAACTAGAAAATTTCCTCAAAACTAATATTAAAATAATCTCTAAACGTGTATTTATAAATATTGCCCTTTAGGCCTTTCAAGTGACGTTATTTTTTTTATAGTTTTGACTTCAAGTAGAACAATTTTGAGTGTGTGTGAATAACTTTTTATAATAGTTTCTAATCTTGTTTGTTTTTACGCGTAAATCAATAAATTTTCATTTTGGTTTTCTCGGAAGGCACACACTAAAAGTTAATGTCTGTCTATTTGTTTTCAGTATGTTACAAATATTGAACAAAAAGTACATGAAGATCATGAATCTGAAAAACTGCCAATCCTTCTAAAATGCTTGCATGTAAATATTTATTTAAAAAAAAAAGAAGAATTGAAATTGAAAAAGAAACAATGAGAAAAGTGGATGGTGAAGCATAGTGAAAAAAAGAGAATTATTGAGACAAGCAAGAAAAACCCGAATAGGTTTGAATAATAAAATAATATATAAATTGTCAATAAATGTTTTTACTCTTTTTGCAAAAAGATGATAAAGAAAAAAGATTCCGACCTAATTTTTCCACAAATTGTTTTACTTTCTTGTATAGTTTTTCGTTTGTATATTTTTCCATCACTTAGTTTTACTTAACACTCAGTTTTATTTTTCTTTTGTAAAATACTAGTTCTAATGGTTTTCTTGTGAACACTACCTTGGTTTCGTGATGTCAAATTGGGTTTTCTCACGAACGGCGTGGGAGAACGATATTTATTGACTTTGCGTGTTTGTTGAAACCTTTGAGCGTCGACGATCAGGATATTCGGTCTGTCTTGATAATGATAAGAGAAAATTGCTGGCATTTTAAATGGATTGGTCCTCGTGATTTTAATAGCATGACATTTTTTACCTTGTTTTCTGTTCATTGCCTAACAAAACAAAGCAAGAAAATGACACCCAAACAGAGAGAATTTGAGAGAGAAATGTCTGAAGATTTCCTTTTGAAGAAAATGAGATGAGATTTGTTAGAGCGAGAGAGTGAGAAAGAGAGGAAGACGTTCTTAGCAGAGTGTTGCCTTGACGAGTGTTGTTGACAAAGAGATTTCTCTGCACTTTGTAGAGTTCATCGGGTCAGACGACACTGCAGAAGCAATTGTCGGGCGGTGCTGGTCAGAAAGTGGTCGTCAATGGGGCTGGCATAAATGCGGATTTGAAGAAAGGGTTGATTCAGAAAGTATTGACGGGGAGAGTACAAAAAGCCCAGCAGCAGGATGGCAGCGAAAGTGCCAATGATAATGAAAATGACGAGGGCCAATCCACAACAGATGCCGGCGATGATGGGGGTTCCTTTGTCGTCACTCCCGATTATATCCAGCAAAGTGAGTGTTGCTTTCATCTTCGCGAGTTTTTTGTTTCCCTAACACACAATTTTTTTTCTTTTCAAATTTTCTGCGTCCCCAACGCTCTTTTCTCCCCCTCTTGTTTTGGTTTGTTCTCTGGGGAAAAAACATTGAAAATCCCCTTTGCAGCCATCAAGAATGCCCTGAAGCAGGAGAATCTCAATCCGGAGATTGAGGAGAAACTCCTCAATCTGCAACGCTATCAGGAGCGTCAGATGAAGAGTGACACGCCGCAGATGATGAGTCAGCCGAGTATGCGTGCCATTTCTCCGTATGAGGACATCCCCTCGCCGCCAGCGAGGCGCAAGAGGCGATCGAGTATGTCGCAGGATGATGAGGATTGGGTCTTGGAGACGCCAAGGCGACGACCAACGAAGAGCAGCGGCTCTGCTCCGGGAACATCGTCGGAGAAGAAGTTCACAGACGGAGTTAATATTAGTACGGGACATCCGGTGACACCATTTGTGGGCTCTAAGCTGAGGAGTCATCTCAATAGTGAAAATAAGATACTCGCCACGTCCACACCTAATCCGGACAGGAGTGGTCTCGTCACGAAGATGCGGCCAGTACCACGAAGGGAGTTGGTGACGAAGCGAGAAATAGAGTTGCGGAAGAAGCAGCAGCAGCAAATGCAGGTGCGATATCAACTCAACGGCTCTTTTAATCAGCCAATAAAACTCAATTGTGTCTTTCAGATGCGTCTCTATCGGCAGAAGGAGTTGCTGAAGAAGGACATCCTGAAGAAGCGAGTGCAGCTCGAGAAGGAACTCCAGATGGAGATCCAGAAGGAGTTGGCTGTGGAGTTGGCGGCAAGGGCGAGTCAGGAGAGAACGAAACAAGAGGATGTGAAACCACCTCTCGTGCCAAATCCCTCGAATACGACAAAAAGAAGGTTTGTTTTGAGAACAGTAATGCCATTGTGATAAGATGCTCATTTCAAGTGTGTTTGCAGATCTGGTGGAGGCGCAACTGTGGTGGTGAAGAAGTCTCTGTCTCCCGTGCCAACGCCTGTTTCGTCGTCCAGTGCGCCAAATCAGGCTCAAGTGCCGCCAACGAGAACAACCAATCGCACCAGGAAAGCCACGGTGAAGAAGGCAGAGTCTGGACAGCACACGAGTGGCTCGAAGAAGAAGGAAAAGCTGTATTGTGTCTGCAGGACGCCCTATGATGACACAAAGTGAGTTCAACACGACACTTAACACTGTTCTGATGAACTGATCTTAATGATAATTCCACAGGTTCTATGTGGGCTGTGACTTGTGCAACAATTGGTTCCATGGTGATTGTGTGGGAATCTCGGAGGAGGACTCGAAGAAGCTCAATGAATTCATTTGTGGTGAATGCAAGCACGCCAGAGATACTCAAGAGTTGTACTGTCTATGTCGGCAACCTTATGATGAATCACAGTGAGTTTCACTTCGTAACATTCACCTTTAGCTATGGATTCATGACTTATTGCTGTGCGTCTCTTGCAGATTCTACATTTGCTGCGATAAGTGCCAAGATTGGTTCCACGGCAGATGCGTTGGGATTCTCCAGAGTGAGGCGGAGTTCATTGATGAGTACATCTGTCCAAATTGTACGAAGAATACTTCAGTGAATTTTGCCAACATGAAATCTCTCACACCGGCTGAGTTTGAGAATCTGAAGAAGTTGATAAAACAAATCACGGTGAGTAGTTTTCGGAATTTAGTTGAAAAAAATAATGTGATGATGAGAAAGTATATATTTATCTTTACTTTTCCTATTTCTTGCAGACACACAAGAATGCATGGCCATTTATGGAGCCTGTGGATCCGCAGGAGGCTCCAGATTACTACAAAGTGATCAAGGATCCTATGGGTAAGTTTTTATACTCTTTCACAACCTTAATGTGCGACTTTTTGCTAATGGACAAGTTTTGTGCAGATCTGGTGAAAGTGGAGGAACGCATTGATACGAAGTGGTACACAACATTGTCCCAATTTATTGCTGATATGACAAAAATCTTTGATAATTGCCGATACTACAATCCGAAGGAATCGCCTTTCTACAAATGTGCTGAGAGTTTGGAGGCATTCTTTGTCCAGAAGATAAAATTTTTTCGCGAAAATCTAGTTGATAAGGGACAGTAAAGAGAGAATGAGTGTATGAAAATTCCTTTGTCTCATCCCCCATAAAAGATGGTATGAATTTAAGCAATTTTTTTCTAAAGGATATTTTTGAGAAACGAATGTAGACGTAAATAATTGTTTGAAAAGAGGTACAAATGAATTATGATAGAGAAGAAGAAAACAAATCTTCACGGTTTTATTTTAACTTTGCTGAAGAAAGAGAGAGATTGTATGAAGTTCTTGTAGAGATATTATGTCATAAGATTTGCAAATTTTACGAAAGGCAAAAATACCAAGATTTCAATTTCACTCACCAAGAATGTGTGGAAAGGATAATTTTTTTTAAATGATAGACGTTGCATTGAAGTAAGGATTAGAAACTACAATAATGAATAAGAACAGAAGTATAATTTTAAGGAATTTTATGAATTCTTTTGAATTTTTAAAGATCACATAATAAAGAAAAATGATGAAATTAAAGACGAGTGTGTTTTGGTTTATAAATCGAATCGTGCAAATTTATTATCAAAAAAAATCCTCACATTGTGATGCGTATAAATGTTCTGGCATAGCGTGAATACAAAAGTATACCAAAAGGTCGCATTATACAGGCTAGAGTAGAGTATACAAAAAAAGAGACTCAAAAAGTGGAATTGGCAATTCTTATCACTAGTAATATCAATGAGGGAGAATGTCGAGTGCTGTGTAGTAATATACTACACGCTGTGCAATCGCCCCTGGCAAGCGCGAATCCTCAGTGCGACTCCTCGAACGTGTGGATGCTCTCCGTAATACTGTCCATGGCATTCACCGGGACCGTGAGGTGCTTGATGGGCGAATCCACGTTGATCTTGTTGATGGTCTCCACCAGGCGACTGTCCACGTGGTGACTGTCGTCGCTCCCGCTGGACGCCGAGTAGTTCTCCACGGACACTTTATTGCACCAGCGCACGGTCTTCCTCGCTCCGGCGGCTGCCTCCTTGGCACTGGACTTGCTTCCGTCGTCCGCCAGAGCCGAGTGGTTCTCATGAATATACAGATCGTCCGTGGCAGAGGCCGTCGTAGTGACGAAGAAGCTGCTGTTCAGCACTGTGGAGTTGTCATGGATGTTCGCGTCGATGTCTTGCAAGTAGTTTCGCCAGTGCTTCATTCCCCTGTTGCTCCTGTTGATGTTCACCACGCACATGTTCTCATAGTCCCTCGTGCTCAGCAATTCGTTGCTGCTGAAGCTGTGCGTGTCGATGAAGCTGGACAGGATCTGGTCTTGCAGCTTCAGATTCTGTATGGTCAGCTGATTCTTCTTGATTCGCTCCTGGAATATGATCTGATTCTCATAGATTGCCGCATCGATGTTCTCCAGAATTGAGCTCTGTGTGCTCTCGTCCACAACCTCGGGAAACACCTCGAGGAGTTTGCTGCTATCTAACTCTCCGCTGTCTGTTGATGGATTCACGATGCTATCTTCCTGTCCAGTATTCAACTCTATCAGGCTCTTGGCCAGAATGTCCACCTGAAAGTATTTCACATTGGGAAATATGTGTTATTCAACTCTGGATGCCAATTGCGCGGCTTTTATGAAATTGTTTTTTTTTGACGCAATCGTAGAATTACATATTAATTTCTTCAAAATTGGCCAAAAAGCGAGTTTATTTGTGCAGCAGACTGTAAAATGGAAATGAGATTATTGTACTCACCTGTTCAGCTGAGAGATTCTCATTCATGATGTCCACCAAGTGCAGCATTTCCTGGGATGAGCAGATGCCCTTACGCTTGAGGACAAAATTGCCCTGACCCTCGGCGATTGGAGTGCTTGACTTCGTCGCCTTGTCTGATGATTCCGTAAGCTTGTCCGTCGAGTGGTATTTCTTGAGTGTATCACAACTGCTGGACAAATCCTTCTCCAGCTTCGTCCAGTTGTTCGCCTCCTTGATGTTAGTCTGCACTGGAAATTTCTCCGTCACGATGCTATCGTCAATCTCGCAAAAGACTGTGGACTGGTTCTGACCATAAAGATCAAAATCATCCCTCTCATAGATGGGCTTTCGCTTGTTGAAGCTGAAGATCTTATTCTTCTCAACATTCTTCGGCGCCAGCTTCTTTGCCATGAGATTCTTGTCGTCTGTGCTGTACAGTGGCTTCTCGAAATCCTTGAAGTTCTCCCTCAGCGTGGCCACACTTCTGCCCTGCTGATTCGACTCGCTGCCCTCCACTGACGCGGAGAGATTATCAATGATCCTTGGAGCTGTGCTGCAATTTCCCAGCTCAGCGACTACGGAATCCTCATTGTAGCGCTTGATCAGGTAGAAGAAGTGGATGAACATGTGCCAGAGAAAGGAGAAGCCCGAGAGACCAGCTGACACGCCAGTGATGACACATTTGTACTTTCGATGGATGATCAGGAAGGACTGGAAGATGAACTGGGGACAATACTGCAGCACAGAATTCACCGTCTGTATGGCATTCACTTCACGGATCTTGTATCTTATCACGTCCACCTCCTGGATGGGGCCCTTTTCAATCTTCCGTAGGATGTTGTGATACCTGAACGGTATTCCCATGAGACAGAGATGCCAGAACACTGCGTTTCCGGACATTCGCTGCTCTTCTGACCGCAGCAGAACTAGCGAATAAATTTGGCACAGAATTTGTGGCACGACAATTATGGTGAGTGTCACCGTGGCCCATTGCAGCTGATTCTCGTGAATGTAGTAGGTAACAAGGCACAGATCTGCAAAAGACAGGCAGGGGCCCCAAATAAACAACGGTGAGAGGTTATGAGGGTGTGGGGGCGCTTTGAGCTCACCTGTTACGAGTTCGGTGACAAATATTAAGGCACTGAACCAGATGAAGTATGTCTCGATGGAGTAGTGAATGATATTGGCACGATTTACCTTGTTTTCCTCATGGTTCATCTTAAAAAAAGAAGATACAGAAAACCCCTGAAGCGTTGGGGCTCTGCGACTGCAACGCCTGCGGTGACGGGGTATCTGAACTCGCGCTCTTTCACCCAAGTTGCTGAGGTGTGCTGTGCGGTGGCGCTGATTGCGTAGCACAGTCTCGTTTGCATCTTTTCGGGAGCGTTCGCTGGTGGTTTTCGCAGTCAGTCGAGCCCCAATCTCCGGAGAGTGGTCAAGTGGTGTCCAATTATGGGTGAGTAGTGTGGCGAGAAGCAGTGTGCACAATGAGTATCTACACGGGTGACTCGATAAAGTTGCAAGACTACACAACGGTGGAGCACAGTGCATCCCCTGTGAATGAGCAGTTGAGTGAAAAGGGCAGCGAAAGGGTGTTTCTGGCGGAGACCTTCTATATCACCTCCAAGAAGAACACAGTGTTTCAGGTGCGCCTCTCAGAGAAGGGGCTGTGCCTGCGAAAGGAGTCCAGCAGCGGCGTGAAGGAGCAGACGATTCTCCTGGCCGACATCATCGGCTGTCGCTGCCTGCGCAGCAAGAGACGCGGCCACGGAGGATCAGCGTGTGCCTGCTCCGCCCTGCCGGGTCCCGCGCAACTCAAGGTGGTGGAGGCCAACTCGGGCGAACAGGACGAGTCGGACGCCAGTGCATATCTCTACATCTACGCTTACATCTTAAAGCGCTCTCGACGCGGCGGACGTCGCGAACGCACCACCATCACGCTCAGATTCCGCTCCTTCGACAAGTACGATGACAACAATCGCGAGGCCCAAAAGTGGCGCACAGCCATCAAGGCGCTGATCAATGACGAAGTCCCCAAGACGCCCACTTACACGCCTTCCGACGCCCGCAAGATGCTGATCATCCTCAATCCAAAGTCGGGCTCGGGAAAGGCGCGCGAGGTATTTCAGCAGCGCGTGGCGCCCATCTTCGTGGAAGCGGAACTGCCCTTTGAGCTGCACGTCACCAAGAGGGCCAACTACGCCCGGGAGTTTGTGCGCACACGGGACATCTTCGCCTTCCGCGGCATCGTGGTGGTCGGCGGAGATGGCATCTACTTCGAGGTGATCAACGGGATGATGGAGCGCCCGGACTGGGAGAGAGCTCTCGAGGAGGTCAGCGTGGGAGTGATTCCATGTGGATCTGGCAATGGATTGGCGAGATCAATCGCCCACAGTTATGGGTGAGTTGCAATTGGCAATTATTTGCGATTCATTGACTTTATAGCTCTAAATTCATTCACACTCAAATCGTCGTATCAAATTAATTGAGCTTGAAGAAATACGAAAAATACCCACCTTTATTGGGAAAGATAAATGCGAATGAATTGGCCAACAAATTGCCCAAGATGACAAATATTCGCGTCGCGCGTGAAAATGCAAATCCGCTATTTTTGCATACTTAATAACTTTGAGTGCTGCTGATTTGCGATTTGCAGAAAAAGTTCGTAGATAAGAAATCGAATAAACCTCTGGTTTTACGTTTTTTCACATTCTTCAATCTCTGTAATTCATGACTATCTCGTCGTTAACCCTTATTCAGTCATAAAGTAATATCATAATCTCCCAAATAAAAAGTATGTTGAAAAGATATGTGGAAGAGGCAATTCCATTGCTTATGCAAATACATTTTCGAATCCCGAATCATTGCTCTATACGTCGAAAAATGTAAAAAAAATTGTATTTATTCACTGATTACTTCTCGTAATTTTGTTGTTCATTGAGTATTTTGAATTGAAAACCAATAAAGAAACGGCTGAGGGTTAAGGTATGTTTGCGACGAAAGAAAAAACAGCTGAATCTGTTTCTAGCTTGAGAACGCCGAACCGCTTATCGGTCTCGTGATAAGGTGATAAGAGAGGGCAACAATGGTCGACTGAGAGGTGTTGTTTATTGCCTGCTTCTCGGTCTATTTCGCGGTGGCGAAGTGATGAAGAAGGATTGAAAAAATGGACTGATTATATTGGAATAATGTGTAATCGATGGGATGTGAAAGAGAGACGCAGAGATATTGGAATTACCGCACTCAAAATCTGGCCGATTTTTTCCCTTCACTACACACGACTCTCGTTAATTTCAATTTGTTTTTATTGCAATTACAATTTCCCATATTTTGCCTGCATATTGAATGTTGCTTTGCTTCTTTTGCTGCCTCAATCAGTGGCTGTTGTTGTTGCACAAGGGCCGAATGTGTGCTCGAGTGACCTGATTATCATTTTTTCAAAGAATGTGGAAATGAGGTGAATGAGGATTTGATGGTCCAGATGAGAGAGAGTTATTGAAAGTATGAGTTTAGCCACAGTCAATTAGGCGAGTCTGTGCTGAGAATTGCTCAGGAATGTTGATTCTATCTCTGGGTATGGTTGTGTTTTGAAGACTTTGCCCCCTCTTGGAGGAGTTTCTAGTTTCTTGGCATGTTTCCAAGGGAATCCACTTGAGAGTTTGTGCTTGCCTCTCAGCTGTTTTCCATGGCAGGAGCGCCGACATAAGGCACTCTCGGACTCTTCATGCTGTGATTTTTAATGAATTTATCAAAGGCTTGCAGAAGAGTCACTCAAATCCCCATGATAAGGCTTGATAAGCATATCTTCTGCGCAATTAGTCGTGTAATTAAATAGAAAATGCAGAACTTTAGAAAAACAGTCGCCAGTTTCTGATCCATTCACTGATATTGGATATTTTCTCCGTCATGTTTGTTGCATGTTAGCAAATATGTTTCAATTAAGGTGGAAAAAAATATGGGGCTGATGTGGGCTGAGTTAGGGAAAAATACAGACACTTTGTATTACACAAGAAAAAAATCAATGAAAAATGTATGAAAACTTTATTTTATTTTATTTTCATTGCTCTTCACAGCACAGTGATGATATAAATAGCTGTTATTGTGATGATAATGACTCACGATGCAGCAATGTACTTTCATTCATACGGGGAAACTGCTGTGGAAAATGTATTTTCCATTGAATGTGAATTATGACCTGTGTTGAAGCATTTGCCAGAAGAGGGGTCACTTTGGATGAGGACAAGTGCAGCGTCGTGGGAAATTATATCATTTTTCCAAAGACATATTCAGGCTTGAACTTGAAATTGGTCCAAGACGATTATGTAGAATTCCTTCGAATCGCACAATTTGTTTTCCGTGTTGAACAATACTATTTCCCGCTTTGTTGTGTAATTTTTCATTATCTAATTAAATAATATGACGGAATCCGGAATCTTGGGGTGTGTTTGGGGGCTTTTTTCGCATTGCACACGCGAAATGTCTCCACAATGTGTTTGCTTTTGAATGATAAATTACACGAAAGCTTTCTTTCTGCCTTTTGCACTCCTTTCACCCTGTTATAAGAGCTGTATTTCTGCCACCAGTCCTTATAATAACCATTTCGTATTTAATCGCTTTTTCATATATAATTGCTTATGTGATCACGAACGTCGTTAAGAAGAAGGAATTGGCGTGATTTGATCCCTTCCAAAAAATGGTGATATTTCCCAAACATTTCCACGGTATTTTGGGAAAAGACTGAGAATATTTAGAATAAGGAAATTGTGTTTTAATTAATTATGGAATTGCGTGAAAATGAGATTGTTCCGGATTCGCGGACACTTGTTATCACACCCGAAAAGATTAATCACCAGATATCCTGTCCTTACGGTAATAAATATGTTGACATGTGAATAATAGGAATATTATGTGATTCACATTCATTCACACTACCGAATTCCTAATGAAAATATCATGATAATTTTTCCCTTGGAGAGTTGCTGACGGGAAATTTTTCTTGGCTCTTTGCTTTGTTTCCATTCTCTTAACGATTTTTCTCCTTGTCAAGATTGCCCAAAAGCTTCGCAATATCATTAATTATTCAATCTACAGAGCATCTGAGATAGTGTGGTATTCTTTTGCTGTTCATTCCTGAGATTGTAGATAAAGAGAAAATGAAATTGAGTTAAAGGAAAAGAACTGTCGTAAGTTTAATTTTTAATTATCCAATATGTGGTTATTTTTGTTGACGGATAATCTGAAAGTAAATCATAAAAATTTCAGGCGAGAGTCTGACTTTTGTCTAAGCTATAAATTCATTATTATTTAATTGTGTTGTGTAGACTAAGGAATAGGAATAGTTTGCTAGCCATCGACTGAAATGATAGATGAATTGACGTTACTTAGACAGGATATAAGTATTTCTTTTATTCAGTAATATCTTTCTTTCTTTTTACATAATGAAAGCCAGCAGTCTGGCCTTCGATAGATCTTCAGTGACTGAAGAGACGGTATTTATTGAAATAACATCGATTTATTACAACAATGCTTTTGTATAGCTTGTTCCGGTTGCTGATTTTTTATGCACGATGTCTAATTTTAGGAATTATATGGTGAGAACATTTTCTTATCCTGATTACAGCGCATTTAAGCTGAGGTTTTCCAAAGTGGCTTCTCAGCATCTACAAATATTTGACGTCATGTACATTTCTTCTTGTGAGTTTATTTATCTTTCTCCTCCACAGAAGCGCACGGAAAAAAACGAAAATCAGATAAGCGCGCAAAAAGTCATTTTTTCATCGATTGAATCACATTTTTCCGTGTGAACGCATTTTTCAAGGTAGATGAGACTCTTCGCGTGTGATCTTTGTCACATTACTTAGTGAGACAATAAGGTTTTTTTTATCTGCGGCCGCCGTTTCGGCATCCGCCACTTCCTCAGAGGTTTGGAGCACGTTGATGTCTTTTTTAGCACCACGACATTTCTTGCCAATGGCTCATAAGATAATTGACTGTGTATACAAAGTGATTTTTCAAGATGAATTTTTGCGCTTGTATTTTATTTTTTTGTAGCAATTGGTGGAAAATCAGCGCTAATTGCTTTATTGTATATTTTTATAATATTATATATTTCCAATGAAAAAAGAGTCATAAAGATGTAAATTCTTGATAATTGTCATGATTAGAATGTTTTCTTGGACCCTGTGTTATTTTGACTGTATCAAAACATCAATTTTCCAGTCTTATCTCATCGCAAAATGAAACTTATTGAAGTGCTGAACGTGGCAAAAAAACACTATGAAGATGGAGTTGGTCTTTTAAAGGTGAATTGTGGCAGTATTTTATATTGAAAATGCAGTTGAACAAGTTGTGTTGTTATGCAATGTTTTTCAAGCAGATGAAATTACAAATTACTCAATTCCTCTCCACAATGTTGTTGTGGCGTTGAGAAGAATTGAAGTTAAATATGGAGATACGGCACTTTTTCGATACTTGCGCTGTAAAAGAACTTTGAATATTGCGTGAAGTCATCGTGATTGAGTGGAAAGATGCCTTTTAAAAAAAAACCTTAATGACAAGAGACGTCTTAAGGTATTGAAAATCATTATTTGCTGGTGTCACTGAGTGACGAGGTGGTTTTCATTCATAAGCATTTGCCAACGAGTAATGACTCGTGCAGATGAGGATTGTTATTTAATTATTGCGTCTGTGGGTCACCGAGGGTGGTGATGATGCTTGTGGGATTGTCCAATGGCGTTGATTGTAATTTTCACCGCAATTCCAAGAAGAAATAGCGTGTGGTTATTTACGCACTTAATCATCTTCATTGGCTGACGTCAGACTGTGTATGATTTGAGAGAGAGAGAAAAAAAAGTGTGCAGTATTTCTCCTTCAAAAGTATTTTGCCTGATAAGTTTAAAGGCTGTGCAGAATGGCGTTCAATTGAGATTAGTGCTTCACTATGGAAAATGGGACGAGTTTATTTGGTCGATAGAGAGGATGAGATTAATTGACAAGCATCATTAGGAATTTGATGAAGACTCACGTGGCGGAAATCTAGCGCTATTCATGAGTATGATTACTAGCTTATTATCCATGTTTTTTGCAACTTAAATAGACATGTTCAGAGACATCAAGACACAAACGTGTGAAAAAATATATGAATTACTGATAGTGTATATAGATAAGGTTGAATATTTCAATTTACACTTATAAATTCAGAAAAGACAACAGCAACCTTGACTGAGGTCATGCAATTGAACATTTAAATGTCTCATGATTCATGCTTTTATTCTCAGTGCTGAACATTATTGAAAGTGTTCTGAGAAGATCAATTTTGCTGGATTTCGCTTTTATACTCATCTTTGTGATTGATAAAAGCGTGTATGCAATGTCGTGTATCGATAATTTAAATTCAAAGGAGTGTGAATTAACTTAACTTATGTCAAATTCAAATGAATATGAATAAAGGTATGATTTTTTTTCTAAAAATTCCAATACTTGTTGATGTTAGAAATCCATTTCTCACTTGTTTATCAATCGACCAAAATGATAGCAGCTTATTTCTCGTTAAAAAATGACTGACACATTCAGAGTTGCTTCTCTGACTTCAGCTCCACATAATTGCTAAACTATTAAATTGAGCTGGTGCTTATCTGTATTTCTTCTCTTACATGATTAGAGTGAATTGTTTTGTTGAGCATTGCAGTAATTAAAGTAATGATTGTGCCATGTAAAGTAATTTTTTCTAGAACTGCGAAGGAAATTTTCCACTTTGTTGTAGAGTTTTGTAGAGTTATTGCAATTCTGTTCGAACGCTGCAATGGTGCGGCGATGTTGACATGAGTATAAATATGTGCTTATCTGCAGAAATATTATTCAATATACATACTATAGAGTGGAAACATGATGATAACATCATGCATAATTAGAGGTAATTGCTAATCTAATTTCCATTCGAGCATTAAGGAAATTAATGCGTCACTCTTTTCACCTTAAGCGCCTCTCATTCTGATCATCTTCCAGGGCATTGGGAGTGCTCAAGAACTGAACGAGAGGTCATGACTGTGATCTGTGACCATATTTTCACCCCATCTACATGGTTGTTCAATCAACAATCAAACGCCTCGTGGTGATTAAATGGAAATGTTGCTCACGGTCTAATTAAATTGGTGTAAATGTGGCTGAGTTGGAGAGGGTCACAGGCGGCAATGGGCTGTAATCCAATTAATTGAGAGCAATTTCAGGAGATTTGACTAATAGAGAATACAAATTTTCACTTTCTGACTCATTTCACTTTTCCTCTTTGCTCTTTCAGTGAGCCATACGAGCCGAAACCCGTTCTGGGAGCCAGTCTGACGGTGATTCGCGGACGATCCACAACCATGGACTTGGTGCGCGTGGAGACAAAGAGTCAGGTGAGAGTTTGAGAGTTGATGTCAATTGCTTATTGTTATAGTTTTTCTTTGTCGCCTCCCAAAATAGATTATGTACTCATTCTTATCAATTGGCTGGGGCCTGATATCGGACATCGACATTGAGAGTGAGAGACTCAGAGCCATTGGGGGTCAGCGCTTCACCCTCTGGTCAGTGCATCGATTAATAAGTCTGAGAACGTACCAGGGACGCGTGTCGTACTTGCCGGCCAGTCAGGTGGTCACCAATGGTGTGGAAAAGCAATACGACGGTGGTTTCGGCAGGAATTCTGGCCCGATGATGAGACACAGCTTGAGCTACAACAATGCCCTGGATTGCCCGGATTGCCATGGTGAGGGTGACTGCGAGACTTGTGATACCGGATTTGGGGATGTTCTGTCGCTTGAGACGTCCACCGGACTCGATTCATTCCGTCCACGGCTGGATAGTTGGTGAGAAGCCATTGTATATTGTTTCACTTTCAACATGCAATTTTGTAGACTTGTATCACGCGATAAAAGTGGAGTTCCTCAAGCTCCAGTTAATATTTCTGTGCAGAGAGAATAAAGTGTGAAAATAATGCATTCTTGCATGCGATGCTTTCTGTCTTCCAGGTATTCGGCAACATCCCGCAAGAGTGCTTACTATTCCACGGCGGAGAGCATTTACCAGAGTGTTCACGAGAAGAGCTCGCAGGAGGGAAGCCGAGGTGACGATGAGACGCAGTCGCATCAGATGTTTGGACCGGCTTCGCGAATTCCTGCGCTCACAACTCCTGTGCCGGACACGTGGACGACCATTGAGGGGGAATTTGTGATGGTTCATGCGGCCTATCAGAACCATCTGAGCACCGATTGTCACTTCGCCACGTCCTCAAAGCTGAATGATGGCATCATTTGGCTGTGCATCATTCGCGGTGGCGCTTCGCGGTCACAATTGTTGACCTTCTTGCTGGGACTGAGTTCGGGAACGCACATTCCCAGCACGCAAAGCGAGTACATCAAGATGATCCCTGTCCAGGCGTTTCGGATAGAGCCCACAAGTGGCGGGCCGCCGGGTTGTGTGACTGTTGACGGGGAGAAGGTGGAGTACGGACCCATTCAGGGTGAGATTTACGGAGATATGGCCAATGTGATGGTTCCTGCGCAATCGTAAACTTCCACCGAGAGATTCTGGGTCAATTTTCTATATAGTGTTTACGAAATTATAGACATTATTTAGAGAGATCGCCGAATTCAGGTGATTTGCAATGCAATTGAAGCAATTATCGCATGAAATATTTAACTGTTTAACATGAATGGGAGCTCTCTACTTAATTTCAAGCATTTTGGGTGTCTTTTTGAATACTAAGAAGAGTGTATCTTTATAATGAGGAGAAAGAAAAAAACATTCCGCAACACACACGAGTTATCAGCCAGAAAACTGGCTTTTCTTCCGGCGAGCATGCGGGGGGCAGAGTAAAATCGATAGTGTCATTGGTCGTTTTCTTTTGTACACCATTTTTTACTGCTAAGTAACACTAGGCAAGAGGAATAACAAAGCTAAACTAAAGCAAAGCTCACACATGGGGCTGTGAATATAAATTTTTGGAGAAAATACCATGGAAAATAATCAAATATTTGTTGTTATGTATAAACGGATTACAAGTTTAAAGGCTACTTCAATGTAAGATTAAGGTTGATTGTGAGCTATAATTTACCCTTTGCTTTATTTCATGCTAGGGAGGTTCTTTTTTCTCGGTTAAGCACGTCATATCAGAAGGAGGAGCAGAAAAAAGCGCAACTATGTAAATACACACAAGACATTCAATATCACAAGTTAGTATCGCACTCGTGTTTCATAAATACGATTATACAAGGCAAGAACGTTCAGTCATTACGAAGAGTCATCATTAGACCTAATGATATATGGAAAAAATGTTATTGCAATTCATGTTACCATCAATTTCGATACAAATTGTAAGACCTAAATATCTTAGAATAGTGTGTAAAATATGGTATAGAATAGTGGCTAAAATTCTCTAACTTGGTGAGATTATAGTGAAAGAATAATTGTATAATGAGGTTGTGGAGATCTAAGGGGATCCAATATATTTCTTAAATTCGTTATTTATCATTTGCTATGCCGTTTTTCTGGAAGAAAAATCAGACACATTTGGCCAAGGAAGTGAAATTGCTGAAGAAACGAACTGCCAATTTCGTAAAGCCTAACAAAATTGATAAGTTATGTGAATTTACCTGATATTTCAAACTAATTGTAAATGTATTCGCAAGATAATTGCTTTCGTCTTCTTTTGGTGATTTTCAAGCCCCATCTAAAGTATCTAATTGAGCATTTTATGAGGCAAGGAAGTTTGTGGAGATGCAAGTGAGGAGTTTACTGGTGAATTTCATTATAAACATAGTGATAAATATGCATGTTAAAACGTCCAAGAGGCATACTTTATGTCATTCATCTAGTGGAAGAGAGATTGTTGATGAATTATAGTGAAAAATCAGTAGATTGTGGTTTTATTCCCTTCGCCATCGCTTTCCCTCCAATTTTACCCGGCGCGATCATTTGGCGCCATGCGCCATCTGCAGGTGAGATATTCTAGTGGCGAGAAAAATCACCAGCCCTGCAGGGGAATCTGCAGTTATTCTCCATCCCTTTTGCGTGGTTGCACGGCCGAAACTATTTTTAGGTGGTTTTTACTGAAAAATAGTGTGTATTTAGTGAAAATTCTTCTTTATCATCACTCGCGGGTGCAATGGAGCCTTTTACATGTTTCATGGCAAGTGGAAAAGTCTGTAAAATCAGCCGGAAAGAGTGGAAAATACCGCGTTTCACACGAAGGCACCGCATAACCTCACTTTTTCCGCAATTTGACACTTTCACGGGGTTTTGCGGCCCCAAAACACCCTTTTGAGCCCCTTATCACACTGAAGCGCCCCTGCGTTGTTGTCGCCGGCACTGATGAGTGGTGTTTTGCAGGAATTCCGGTCGTACATCGATGAGCTGTATTCGAATGACTACCAGAAGTGTCAGGAGGCGATGATCTGCCTGAAAAATGCAGTGATCGGGAGTAACAAACAGAAGGCATCTGTGGTGTCTCAGGGAATCGTGCCTAGGCTTATAGCACTCCTCACAGACGAGTCTGTACCCCTGGCGCTACGCTGCGATGCAGGAATTGTCATTGGTGGGTATCTGGTTCCGGCATCGACTGTTGCTTTCCGGCGGGCTATTTTGATGCTTGCCGGTTGGTATCTTATCGGAGAATCTGCCGAAGTGTGTTTAGTGGTGTCTTATTGGTGACTGATTAGGAATTTGATGGATAATTCGTAGGAACTGCAAGATCTATTGAATAGAGCCGAAGTGACCTTGAGGGAGTCACATTGAGTGTTGGCGCCAAAATTCCTAAGATTCCACTGTCTTTGCAGGTTCTCTGGCCAAGGGAGCGAATGACCAGGTGCGTCAGCTGATTCTCTACGGGACGATCCACGTTCTGCTGCAGCTCATCATGAAGAAGAACAGTGAGAAGCAGCTCGTTGAGATCTGCTTGAAATGCCTGAGATCCATTTACCAATATCGCTACGCACCGACAGATGTTCTGCACTCTAATAACGGAACACTCACCTATCTCATAGGTATTTCAGTACTCCTGAAAGGGATGTGCAGTGAGGAGCAATGACCTACCTCATTACTCTTTACGTTATGTCCGTTTAGCGGATTCTGTGCCTCAATTTCAATACAATGGACTTTGCGATTACGTTCTTCCTCACTGTATAATTCCCAGCTGGGCGTTTTGCGATATCTAACCGTGATTTCTTTGGTCCGAAAGCAGATCTAGCATCGCCTAACAGCTCCATCGAGTGCCAATCGTGTATTGCCAACATCCTGGTGCCCATCTGTCACTCGTACATCGAGCAGATGCTGCTGTGCCAGGCCGGGGCGATTCCTCTGCTAGCGCGCCTCATCACCTCCAATCATCTGGTGTTGCAGACGCCAGCGCTCAAGTGCCTGGCCTCCATGTGCTTCACCAATCGCGCAGTATCGGACATCGTCTGCGCCACTAGTCACGACGACGAGATGATTCCCGACATCCTCACGCGGCTGACTTCGCGCTCGCGACCTGTGGAAGTGCAACTCACGGCTGCCAGATGTCTCACGTACCTCCATCGATCGGGTTCTCTGAGCTCTAACGACTCGAGAATTGAGTTCAAGACGCTGCCCTGCCTGGCGCGTCTCTGCACTGAGGAGTTCGACGAAGACACGCGGGCCACGGCGGCGGAGACGCTGGCTTATCTGGCGGAGATAGACTCGGATCTGCAGCGATTGGCGGCAATCAGCAACCACCTGATAAACTCTCTTAACTCCCTGCTGCAGTGCACGTCGGCATTGCCGCGGCAAGGTGCTTTTCGGTGTTTCGCCTCTTTGGGCGCCAACGACGAGGACATCCGGAAGCGGATTATAGAGATGGACGGGCTGATGGAGGAGGTTCTCGCGGGTCTGGGTGATCATTGTCCGGAGGTGCGTCTCGCGGCGGTGCGATGCTTGCACTCGCTGTCGCGATCCGTGCAGCAATTGCGGACGACGTTTCAGGATCACTCCGTGTGGCGCCCACTGATGGCTCTCCTCACCGGCCAGCCGACGAATGAGCTTCTCACCGTGGTCACGTCTACCATCTGTAATCTCCTGCTGGAGTTTTCGCCGGCCAAGGAGCCCATGCTGGAGTCGGGCGCGGTGGAGATGCTGTGCGAACTGACGCGGAATCAGGATCCGGCATTGCGACTGAACGGGAGTTGGGCACTCATGAATATGGCCTTTCAGGCGGAGCAGCACGTGAAGACGAAGATCATCAACACACTGGGCACTGATAGGATTTTCCAATTGCTCGCCGACTCGGACACGCGCGTAATCATGAAGACGCTGGGTCTGCTGAGGAATCTCCTCAGCAACACTCTGCACATCGATAGCATCATGTCAGACCACTCAGAGAAGGTAATGCAGGCGGTGAATCTGGTACTGGACTCGCAACACCCGAGCGAAGTGAAGGAACAAGCGCTGTGTATCATAGGGAATATTGGCGCTGGTGCTCAGGCCACGGACTATGTGATGGAGGATGAGAATACACTGCGAAAGCTGGGGGAGTTTCTCGTGAACAAGGACACGAAGTTGCAGGCGGGCGCGAGATTTGCCATTGGCAATCTTATAAGGAAGAACGATATCACCGCTCCTGCCAGACGCAATAGACTGAAGGAATTGGGAATACTCAATCGATTGGAGGAGTCCAGACGGCAAGAGCTCTTCGGAACGCATGTCTATGATGAGTGAGTACACATCTTGCATTCCTTTAATGCGAGATTATTTATTTTAAATCACGCTCGCATATGAATATGCATGTCTCATTGCAATTTAAGTCATTCCATTCTCCTGTGATGTACATGTGAGCACAATGCTCAGTATTACCGAAAGCTGCATTGGGCTCACCTGCATTCCAATTCGTATAGTTGAGAATATTTCCATTTCTCACCCAACGCCACAAACCGTCCGTTTGGTAGTTATAGCCGCCAATCCAAGTTTCATGCTTGAGCTTCTTGACAACATCAGTAATAATTTTTTGTTCGGTTAGTGTTTCAATTGATGCCAAATTCATTTGGTACCCTTCACAAAATTCCTGTGCGATATTCCATGACAACTTAGAATAAAAAAAACACAAGTTATGGAATATCAATTAAAAAAATATAGTGCAGAATCACCTTAATATTAACGAGAAAATACACTTTTTCCACTCCATAGTAAAAAACAAAACTGCTTTGATAGTATATGAAAGTTTCATAGGAAAATGAGTGTGGAAGAATGGTATAAATTACTATTATAATAGCAAACTGAATTAAATTCATAATTGTAATTGATAACTTTTTGAGAAAAAGCACAAAAGACTGGAACTTGATATAGAATTTTCGTTGAATTTATAGCAAAATGTTTCATACGATAGCATTTTCTTGGAATATTATTTGATTATCTTACATTTTTCTTTACACATAAGACATAGCACATAAGACTAAGGAACGAACTTGATAAGGTTTCATTTTGTTTATTTCCTCTTCTCAAATCTTAGAATTAATCCATTCCGAGATTGTAGTGCCAATGATCTCATGTCCATGGCGAATTGTTGGCAACTTGGAGACTTTTTGATCTTGAAGTGACTTAAGATACTCACAAGAGCCATTTTTGTCTGTAAAATGCCAAATTTCATTCCAATACAAATTCGGGGACCGTCGCCAAAAGGCAAAAAGGTACATTTTGGCCGACTTTGTCGTTCTTCTTCGGTGAATCTGTGTGGATTGAAGATCTCTGGGCAAGGATAGAATTCAGGATCGCTAAAATTTGTAAGAGTTTAATTAGTTTGTCTTATTCTAAAGATTTTGTTTCTTAACTCTGCATTACTTGTGCAGGGAGTAAACAGGAATGAGAACAGTTGTTCCCGGTTGGAGGATCGTTGGTTGCTTCTGTCCAGGCAGTTTGGGCATTTCATATGGCTTTGTGCACACTTTCTTCATCACTGGAAAGAGAGTGTTGACACGTTGAGTCTCTTGAATGACCAAGTCTAGATATTCCATTTCACTTATCGCTTCGTACGAAAGGGTATTTTTGTGTTTCTCTAGAACCCTCTTGATTTCTTCATAGACTTTCTGTTGAATCTCTTCATGGCGAGCAATTTCCCACAAGGCAAAAGACAAAACGGAGCTTGAAGTCTCGAAGCCTTCGACAAAGAGAGACACAGCATGACCTGCAATTTGATTCAGTGATATGCTGAATTTGTCCTGACTGTCCAGCAGAATCTGCAACATATCTTCGCAATCAAGTTCTCTGTGTTGGCGGGATTTCACATTCTCCTTGACCAGTCTTTTTGCCCATTCTGCCACTGGTTTTGGGATGAAAGATACGCGAAAGAGTCGCTCGAAAAATGGCAACAATTGCATTACTGTGAATTTGATGCCCAACCAAAACGATGGTTTGAATAATGTCCTTCCCATTCGTCGAAATTCACTATTTAGATCATCGAAGCAATTGGCTTCCAAGCTAAAAACACATGACGCCACATTTTCAGTTGTGAATTTTGCAGAGAGCTGAAAGAGTGAATGAGAAAGTGAATAAATCACACACAATGAATTGATAAGGAAAACTCACACTTTTCGCCTCGTGATCAGCTTCACTTCCCTCTTGATTGATATATTTAATCAAACTATCGCAAGGTTTCTTCATAAGTGGAAATATTGATTTCATCTGGGAAAAATATGTACATAATCTTTACTAAAAATTCTATCTTGAAATTGAAAAGTCTTACTTTGTTCGTGGTGAACATTGGTGACATTATGGAGCGACTCAATTTCCATTTCTGTTCGTCTGTCTGGAAAAATGGATTTTCTGCTATCATATCGTGGGGATCGTAATTTATTGCTCGTTCATTTGCCAGAAAAGACGTAAAGTCTCTTATTAGAACGTTCTTTATAAGCTCCACATCTCTTATCATGATTGCCGGTGTTAAGACATTGTAGTAACCAATGAAGGGAAGATTGGAGAATTTCCTATAATTGCATTGTCCTAGAGTGGTTGTTTAATACGCACTCGGTGACTTACTTGTACCAGTCGTCCGCTAGCATTCCCAGGTGTTTCTTCTGAGCGATGGCAGGACCAATGTTTCCAGTTAAGATCGAAGGATTTGGTCCCGGAACACCATCTCTCTGCCAATATGAGTAATTCCATTTAAGCAACAGATGCAAAAAAGCACAAATGATGACAATTCCGATGAGAAACATATTTTGCGCACTTCACCGACGATGTGTAGCTCACGAATGTCTCTCATTGAATTCCATCTGGACGGCAGGGTCGTGCAATAATTGAGAATGAAGATTTATCAGAGTCAATTGAAATACATAAACCGGCTGTTTTCTTTGGTGTGCGAATGGAATCTTTTAGATTTCTTATGGTCGGTTTATTTGAACTTTGATCTTAATTATGGCTAATTATACCCAAATCTGTAAGCATTAAGCAAACAGACTAAATATTTGTATGCTCTCGTATGAAACTCCTGATGTCAGGATGGGCGATGTTGGTGTAGACTCCTGGATAGATGGGAGCACCGCATCCCATTCCCCAGCTCACGATGCCCACTAACATGTTCCTGGAATCCGTCTGGAGGGCAAAGGAGGATGAGTTTGGGAAAGAAAGCAGGGCTAGGGAGAAGATAGAGTCTCACCAGTGGTCCACCATTGTCCAGAACACAGATATCCCTGCCAGACTCTCCTGCGCAGATCATTGTCTCTGACACCCTTCCCATGTAGGTTGAGTTGCACACATCCCGGCTAATGATGGGAATTTGGGTGAACTGGAGAACTTCCGAGGGGCTTCCGTCGATATACGTTGCTCCCCAGCCGCTGACGAAGACGCGAGAGGCGGCTAGAGGTTCGGTCGTGGTGAGAGGAATTGGTCTGACGTTGGGGCCTCCCATGATGCCCTCGATTTCGCACACTGCCACGTCCATGTCGTAGACGTAGTCTTGCGAGAAGTCGGGATGGAGGATGATTCGCAGCATTCGGTGGATTTGGCCTCCATTTTCTCGATAGCGCGTCCCGACGCGGACTCTGATGGAGTCCAGCTGCAGACTGTAGACGCAGTGAGCGGCAGTGAGGAACCAATGGTCAGAGATCACAGAACCGGCGCAAACTTGCTCATAATCAACGTATTCGATTGCGCCGATCCAGGGAAATTGCCCGGGTTGGGCATCTTGGCCGCCGGCTATGAATTTCTCAGCGGAAATTTTTCCGATGAAAGGGAGTAAAAAGCACAGTAGAACGAAGTGCTTCATGGTTGAAGATAAACTGATTAGTTGGTCAGCAAAGGGACTCTGATCGCCCAATATCTCTTCCGCGATCGATAGGCTGGGGATTTAGATAGTTGAATCGATAAGATTTGACTTGTTGTCACTCTTTTAACATGCTTTTTACATTTGTTTTTTTGCAGGATCACATCTCTGATCCGCGAGTTTGACTATATGACGTGATGTGGCCAGTGGAGACCATTTCTTGGGAGTTTCTGCGTGAAGGCAAATAATCGAACAGCATCTTCTTCGAACAGCACATTTTTACTTCACTTGTTTATTATTGTAAACTTATGTTTAATTTTTTTTATCTAGTCATGCACCCACAAATCTATCATTATTTCACATATTTTCATCCCATTTGTCCTCTTCTCCCAGTTTAAGAGAAATCACGATCATCACGAATTGTTAGGGAGAGAGTGAAATTAAATAAAAAAAAATGTTCAAATTGTGCGGAAAAAGTTGTAGAATCATGAGTTAGGGAGAGAAATTGGAAATATTGTATTTTCTTCAAGAATATTTTCCATATATTTGTTGTTAAGCGGGAAACTCCCATTTGTGACTGTTTTTATTAGAGGTTTTTACTGTATAATGGATTTCCTTCTTTCACTCCCTCAATAAAATTATCACGCAGTTTCTCTTGCATTTAACATGCATGAAGACACACATAATTTCGCAATAGTCTCTCCGAAAGCATATAAATATGACAAGGAAAAAAATCAATAGGGAATAGTCCAGCGAATATATAGCAATTTAATCTATAGAATTTACAATTTACAGTATATGAAAAAAATGCCAATGATCCGTGAAATATTGCATAACAATGATACTCTCTGGCTTATCAAAAAATCAATGTTTATACACACTTCACTGTTTCGGGAAATCGTAAATTGTTATACATATTTATTGTAGTTTCTGCAAACATTTATGAATTACTTTGTGGCTATAGTAGTTGTGTAACGTTTAGTGATGATGAATATCAGGAGCGAGAAATAGGAATTTACAATATTCACACGACATTCTAAAATGAATGCAAAATATCCCATTATAAATAAACGAATTCATCCTCAAATTTCCAATTTTTCGCATACAATCTTATATAAACTCCGCAATGAGACAATTCAGGCATTAAATTTGATCAGAAGGAAATCCTCAGTGTCTCTTACTCCTCCTGTCATCTCGATCGCTTCCCTTATCCCCGCGTCGACGCTTGTTCAAGGGATTCCGTGGATCGTACACGTCATACCAGTCATCCTGCTTCGTGGCAGCATCTTTGGCCAGCACCGGCAGTTTCTCCTCGAAGTGCAGCTCGTGCGACAGCCAATCGTCGCCCTGGATGTCTGCATCGTTATCTGCTGGCGCTTCAACAGGCGCTTTCTCTGATCGCTTTGCCGTGTCGAGTTTGTCCTTAAACTTGGCGAGAAGAGAGAGCGTGAAACTTTCCCTGGAAGCCCCCTTTCGAGGATGATTCTTCTTCAGGCCATCGTATTTTCCCTTCTCAGACAGATACTCCTCAAGCAGTTCACTCCGCTGCTTCTTATCCTCCTTCACTGTTCGCTCCTTGTCCAGCAATTCACTCTTGCGCTTCCTTTCCTGCTGATATTCCTTCCGCACTTGCAATATCTCCTCCCTGATCCGTTCTCTATGGGCAAGAAAAGACATCATTTGAAAGCTTCCACGGACAAGAGCACTCATACTACTTACGCGTCTTTCTTTCTCTGGGCCTTTCGCTGCTTCTCTTCGTCGAAGAGATCATAATTGTCATCAGAATCTGAGGAGGATTCCTTAGGTTTCTCCGTAGATGTCTTTTTAGTAGATTTCAGCTTGTTTTTCACACTCTCGGCTGCCCTTTTTACCTCCTCCTCATCTCTCTGCAGACTGGAAGATTGTTCGGGCTCTGGTGAGGAGGATCTGTCCCTCTGTTTCTCTACCTTTGCAGTTTCCTTGCTCAATTTGGGATCTTCAACAGCATCGTGCATGGATTTCGCCTTTCCAGAAGACTTCTTAACAAATTCATTGGTCTCTTCTTCATCTTCTTCAGCCTCCTCACCGAAAGATAACAGCCCAAAGTTCCTGGAGAGTCACAGAGAATTAAGTTCACGCACTCCCGGAGGTTCTCTTATACTCACTTAACGCCCTTTTCCTTTTTCTTTTCCTCCTTCTTCTTCTCGGCCTTTTTCAAGACTCTTGGCTCAATGTCCTCGAAGGGATTGTGCAAGATCTCCGCCTTGATTATCTTGTGCGGATACGTAGGTCGCTCATCCTCATCCACAAGTCCCTCTTCCAGTTTCAGCATGTTGAAAACCGTGTCTCCAGTCACCTTCCCGAAGATCGTGTGCTTGTTCTGCAGCTCTGGTGTTGCGCCCAGCGTGAAGAAGAACTGCGACCCGTTATCATTGGAGCCAGAATTGGCCATAGCCACGAGTCCTCTCCTCGAGAAGCGGAGCCTCGAGTGGAACTCATCCTTGAATGGCGCTCCGTAGATCGATTCGCCACCCGTGCCATTTCCCTCTGGATCGCCTCCCTGGACAATGAAGCCTTTCACGAGGCGGTGAAAGATTGTGGAGTTGTAATATCCCTCCATGCACAACTGCACAAAGTTCCGGCATGCTTTGGGCGCTTCGCGGGGCCACAATTCTATGTCAATGTCCCCGACACTGGTCTTCAGGAGCACCTGCGATGCGATTTTCATCAGTTTCAGCAAGTCTTGAGGGATATTTGGCATTAACTCACCTTCCCCGATGTTGGGGGCTCTTGAATGTATATACTACTCATCTCTGACCTTCCCTTTTAGGATTGAATCCTAAAAATTCAGCTAAACGCAAGGCTTGATCATCCACTTCTCCAGTCCACTGCAGACTTCAAAGCTAATTCATCTTATGCTCACTAGCGCTGCTATCGATGTGAAGGAGAGGAAAAGCGCGAGAATCACGTTTAAACCAACTAAAAATGATATTTGAAAAACCGAAACGAAATTTACTGAGACTTTCAACTTCTTGTGCACGAAAATTTGCTAAGTAAAATGAACAATTTAAGAGATTTTACAAATGTTATGGTTAAAGGTGATCAAGATGAGACATTTATTCCAGAAAATGATTTTCGACAGTCATATAATTAAAGTGGAAAATAGTAATGATGAAGAAATCTTCTTTCCTCTAAATCTATGTCTTAGTTAATTCAAACTAAATACTTACCACAACTCCTTTTTATCCAATTTTCATTAAAAGAAATGAAAAAAAACTCTGTTTTTAGTTAGAAAAACAAGTGAAATTATGTTTTGTCAAGCATTTTTATTGATCTTCATCCATGAAATATTTCATTTTATTTGTTACTTATATAAAAGTTAACAAGATATTTATATAATCGTCCCATACAACTCATAATGAATTTGCAGAGAAGCAGCTGCTAGATACTGTGTGATGTTGAGATGCTCTCAGAAAGCACTAAACACAGATTTAACATACTTTTCATATCTTATTTATATTTACATCTTTGGCATTGCATGAAATCCTACGTTGGCTTCAACTAATTAAATCTTACAAGCTTCTCACTATTGTCAACAGTTTTACACACCTACAATTATTACCAACTATTTTTGTGCGTGAAAAGGGGGAAGAGAAGAAGTTTCTCAGGCAGTTCTATTCTGGTTTTTAGATTCTAAGTGAAACAGGCGCTCTAATCCACACTCAGTGACTGTTTTTAAACTGTCCGCCATCGTGCAATTCAAGCGGAAAGGAGCGCCATTTGTGCGAGAATGTCTTGAGAAGGGACTTGCGAGGTTCAGAAAAAGTCTTCCTCGTCGTCGTCGAAGACGGTGCTGGGTGGTGCAGGTCCCATGAGAAATGTGAACCGGTGATCCTGACCTACAAGAGTGTCAATAGAAAAAAAAGACTTTGTCAATCCACGCGAGAAAAGGCATCCAATTGAAATGTTAAACGATATGAATTAGCAAAAAAATTGCAAGGAAAGTCGCAAAAAAGGCAAAAAGGACAGAAATAAGGAGGCAACTCGAGCGAAAATGGTTAAGTAAATTAAACCGAAACCTCCGTAGAATGTGTTAGAGAGAATAGGAGTGAAGAGTATATTAGAATAATTTGGTTTTCAGGCCCGGATCACAGGTTTTTCTCATCCTTCGGACGTGAGGAATAATCCACCAAAAAAGAATGATTGTATGACACTATATGTACACAATGATGAAGTGAAAAAAATAAGGAACAAAATTGGAGGAAAAGGAATTCATGCAGTAAATCATTTTAGATTCCTCACTGAATACATCAAACAAGGGATAAAAATGAAGCTAAATAGTTGTGTTATTGTAATTTTTTTTTACAGAAGAACTATAACAAGGCTTCGTTTATGCAAAATGTTAACTGTACTGCATATAATATTTGCTGTATCTGTCATGAAATTATCCATTCACACGTTTTCTCAAACTTTGGCATAACTTTGTGCAATCTTTACTTTGTTATTTAATCTCTGTTTATAGGAAATATTATACACTTTATAAATGTGATAAATAATGTAAAAGAAAATTAGCTCAATACAAACACTGTATTTCTGATATTCAAATAAAATTCAACACGTCTCACAACATATACAAATAAACAACAAAAGACTCATTGCAAGTTATTTTTAAAAATTAGTTGTTACGCTTATGTTAATGTACTCGATTAGCTTCTTTTAAATAAATATTTCTAGGCCAATTAAATCTCAATTTAAGGACAAAAAGTTTCTTAAAGTAGCTCGCAAATTCTAAATAGAGTCAGTCTTACCTCGTATTTAAACTATACAAATACATAAATCTTTCAAATTGCAGATTTTTTGCAAGTTTCTCTCACATTCATTTCTTATTTTCATAATCTTTTTTATTTTCAGAAAAGCTAAATTTTTAATACATTTTTTCGTGTTACTTCAATTTACATTTTTTTTTCTATAAACTGATAAAAAGTAATATTTTTATAAGAGAGTTAATGAAAGAAAAGTTTTATATATATATTGTGAGGCGAGGCAAGTGTAAATTTAATTTTTAGCTACATTTCACTATTTTCTTTCATTGACTGTTTGGTTTAGTGATCTTTGTGATTCGTCATTTAATTATTATACTTAAGACAAGAGGAGGAAGAATACATTTTTGCTGCTCAAATGAATATTTCCATCTCATTTTGCAAATTGGAAAAAAAATATACAAAACAACTAAACACGTACTTGAAATTATAAATAAATAAATAATGCCTACATTTCTCATTCAATCTATGTGCTTTTTATTTATTTTTTTATGTTCATCCACTTTCCATATAGCAGAAAACAAAAATTTCACTATTTGAAATCATACTTTTACTATTTATGCCATTTTTTCAAAATGTAAAACCATTTCATAAGATTCTTTTTTTAATATTAAACTTCCTACATTTCGGTTCTCACATGAACCTATACACAAATTCTTTTAAACAGTTCCTCGAAGCCAAATTTTGGGATATTTTGGTTATTTGCGAGTAAAAAAATGTTTAAAATTGTCTTCCACCGAAAGTCAATCAAAACAAAATTAAAGTCAGAACAGGAAATAGGAAAAAACCACGTCCCAATAAATCACTTCTAAAACCATGGCATTACAATTTCGAATGAATGAAATTTGGAAAAAATATAGTAAGAGACAAATTTATACGGTTAGATCTGTTTTGAAAAAAAAAATCATTGAAGAAAGATTACATATAAATAAAAATGAGAAAATTTTTAAAAATAAGACACCATCACATGTACAGATCAATTTGGAAAAAAAGAATATTTACATATTGAGACATTTTTGCAAAATTTTCAATATTTTTCGCATTGAATTTTTTTGTCTAATAAAAAATCAAAATTATAAATCGCTATTAGCACCAATTGCTCGATATATATTTCCTCAATTACAATTTAAATCTTTTTCTAAATAATAACTTTCACAGAGTATTGCATTTACTCTTCTCCTAAAATGTTCTTTTCCTTTATTTATTGGTATTTAATTTACAAAATACGTGAATTTTGACTGGAATGTTTGTACATACAAGTTTAAAATAGTTATTGTCACTAAACATAGATGAATTGAGAAGATACTTTTCTAAACAATTCAAATTATTTGTTTGAATTTTTTCGTTTTTTTATCCGAAATTACTTTTAAAAGTAAGTGTTTAAGAGTTTAAAATTAAACAATATAGTGTTTGCTTTTATTTTTAAGTTTCTTTGTTCTTTTAAATACATAAAGCAAAATTACTGTAATTCTGTTGTAGCTTTTTCTTGTGTGTGTGTTTTAAATAAATATATACAAATTTGTACTATAAAAAATCTTGCGCGATTTTTTCATTATAATCTCGTTTAGAAAAAAATTGATGAGAGCAGTTTGCAGATAATAAAATAAATTTTCGTTTTCGCATGCTCTTCATACGTTCATTGATCTTCTCGCTTGGCTTTTTTGGTAAAGGTAGCAATTGGTGCTAGAGAAAGCCTATTTTAGCAATAATACCCGCCATGATATATATCGCCACATTGTGTTTTGTTGTACGTACTCGGATGGGAATTTGTTGGGCTCTTAGTCTCACAGCGGTTCCCCATGAAGCCATCAGGACAACTGGAAGAGAGAGCAAACAGGATTGTATAAATTCAAGTATGAAACACATTCTCACTCCTTTAGACACCTCAATTGTCTTGCAAGGTCAACAAAGAAGACCCTTAGAACAGATAACACTGTATGAATTGCGTCCTTATTAAATCTATACGCGCAATGTCAGCGGTGAATTCTGTCTGTGATCTTGTATCTTGATGATGATCTTCAATGGAAAAGGCAGTGAAGCTGTATTCTGCAGTGTTAATTATTCCACCATCGCATCTCACTATTTATAATTTTTCACAAGACTTGCTTTTCAACTCTGTTTTTCCACGGCGGAAATTAGCCTTAAAACTGTCGTTTGTCTTTTTCACAATGTCCCCCGTCTCACTCTCGCATCCTGAGAACAATAATTCTTTTCGCAGTCGGGCCAAAGAGAGGCACTTTTGCTTGTGGGAACTTTTCATCAAAATTAATGAATTCGCTACAATTCTTCTCTTTTTGCGCTCTGTGGGTGATGAAAAAAAAACAGCAAAGTAGAAGAAACGCACGAAATGAATTTACGCGAGTGTGGAGGAACTTTTTTTTTATCTTTTTTCCTGTCTCTTCATTAAGTTTGCGATAGAAATTGGAGGGAAAATGCTGAAGAACCGCAATCTAGCTTAGAGCGCCGAGAGTGCAAGGGTGGCTCTAGCGTAGAGTGTGATCTGCACGATGTGCGCGACATTCTCCATGAAGTTGAGATACGGTGAGGAGAGAGACGTAAAAGTATATTCTAAAAATAAATGTCATCACCACTAAACTTGCGGCAAATGATGCGTTACAATAACAGTAAGATGAGAAAAGGAAAATAGATCTTGTGCACATCACTATCGAGAGGAGAAAGTAATGCCGCAGTGTTTGGGTAAACTTCGCAAGAGGAGCACTTTTGTCATTGTTCGGAGCTCCTTCCCTCCCAAAATTGCCTCTCTAAGTGAAGAGAGAGGGACCTTTGGCACTGCGTTGCTTCGCCAGAAAAGGCAATAAGCGCTCGCACTTCTGCGATGCAGTTGGGAAATGCAACGAGACTTCCCAGACGAGACATTTGGGCCACTTAGGAAGAGTGCAGTCATGGAGGGTGAAGAGGAATTGGCGCCTAATTGCGGTTGAAAGCCGGAGTCAATGAGGACATGGGAGAGAAGGAAGCACGATGAAATTATATTTGTCAATTAAGGGAAGAGGCAAAAAGTGTGTCTCGTTTTTCATGAAGATAGAGGAAACATGTGTCCCATCAAATCTCAGTCTAAACACAGCGAAATTTGTCACATTTTGTTGTTCTTGCAAATGTTGTCTCAATTTTTATGAATTGCATCTTTGATACTCACAAACATGCTGGCTCCTTCACATCTGGAAAATACCTACAGGTGCCTCCGTTTAAGCAATACCCATTGCCATTCAGTGGACAATTTTCGTGAGCTGAAATGAGAGACAAGGCGTTCTTTAGCGGCACAATCTCGAGCCAACAGGGAGGAAGTGTCTCACTTTGATCTAGCTGGTCGTCAAATCTCATGAACATTGATCGCGTGACAGGTTGCTTCCCCAATTTGTTCCTAGCTCGACATTCATACTGTCCCGCATCGTGCTTTTTTGCTGACTCAATGGTCAAGATCGATCTTCTCCTGTTGGAAAGAAAATGAGAGCAAAGCGCGATCAGTGCAAATTAAACAAGCGAAAATAACCGCCGAATTACATAAGATCCACTGATGACATAAAAAACAGCATCTCAATCAAATTGGTTTAGTTCTATTTTTGGTGTGATTTCACACGAGAATATCCGTAGAGAATGGCTTTTTGACAAACACACATTCACGTGGAAAATTGACCCGGATCTCCGGCCAATTTACAAAAATCAATTCTCAAATCCGCCAAATTCTATTCACCTCCATTTTTGGCCACTGTTTGAATTTATCACACCAACAAAGAAGGGTTCCATTCATCTAATTGACGATGCTTCAATATCACATTGGCAAGCCTTCATTTTCTCTACAATATCCAGTGCAGACTTACTTGAGGTGAGAAAAAGTGTATCTGTTGCGATCTCTCTTAATGGATCTGCCATCTTTGAACCATGTGATCTTCGGTGGCGGTTGACCTTTCACTCGGCACACCAGGCGGATTTTCTTGCCCACCCGCACTGGAAGGTTTTCCGTAAGGAATTCAATGGAGGCGCGCTGTCCTGAAAGAAAATCAGACAGACATTCAAAATTATAACGCTTTTCCCAATTTTGGCTGTGTGCTCGCTGTGGAATGTCAACAATTCACACGAGTTGCACCATTCCAGCAGCAAGAAGAGAAATGGGGAGAAGATTAAGAAAGAAGAGAAGAGTGAAAAAATGCACGAGACACTCTCGAGGGATTCTGTTCAATGCCAAAATTGTCCCTGCGGATTGGCAAATAAGGTAAGACGAATACTTAATGCGATTGTGGGAATGAGTTCAATCATGTGTAGCCAAAACACTTCCTCGCACACTTCTTGCCGCATTTCTACACAAGAACATTCTTTCAATTGGAAGGCAACGAGTAGAGGTGAGCAGTTTTCATCACAATTGTCGACATTATCAACTCATGTTGAGATCTTCATGACTTTCTGCAGATAGTGTTCAACTATAAGATTATTTAGAGAGCATAGTTTTTGCAGATACTTCTATTTACTGTCCTTCTTAAAGTTGACAGGAGTTTGATTTCCATGACAAGTGTCAACAAATGTGTAAAGAATGCCTAATATACCCAAACACTCAATAATTATATTCAAACACATTTCTCATTCCAAATTTACTACTCATAAGGATTTTAATAAGTATTCCTATAAGATAATGATAGTCAAATGAGTTGTATAAATGACCAGTAATCAATTCGCCCATCTCCCAATTATACTTTCCAAAAGTTGTTCAATTCTCTGGGTAAATTGCATATTAAAATTATCTCTGGTGTCAAGTGAACCACTTGGAAAGTCTCAGACAGCAACAAATCATCAGAACAAGAGCACTTTCGCAGAGTGCCTTTCAGAAATTCATCTTTCTGAAACATTGTTAGCACTTCACGCGGGAAACGTTCTATTTCGGTGCATGCTATTGTGATTATGCTGAGCCATGCGAAGGTTACTCTAGGCTAGAGAATCATAAATGGTAGAAAATGCCAAATATTCAAAATGGAAAGTTTATTGGTGAATGTTTACAGTAATCTCTTTTCTTATTGCTTGTTTCAGCCCACTTTGGCAAGTTGCGATGCTGGAGAATGAGCAAAAGAATTACTAATTGGCTATCAATTTGTTCTGCAAGTTTGTTGCAAAACCTTCTGAAGAACTTCACTCTGCTACTGTATAGTAGCTTGCAAAATGTATTGCAGAGATATACGCAGCAATGAAAATAAGTTTTCTGAGTTTGGATATTTTGCGCCAAATTTTGCGCACAACTGTTGTGCGTATTTATTTAAAAACTCACTACCATATGATCATGCAAAATATTGCCAATTTTCCGCAATAAATTGCAAAGTGTTAACATTTTGCGTGTAGAGTCTCTTAATATTTCCTTTAAAACGCACTAAACCCAAACAAATATTACGTGCTAAGATGGGCAATTTCTGTTTAATTGATGATCGCACTTGAGAGTTTGTATAATGGAAGAAGGAAATCGAGTGGAGTGCACTCTAAAATGAAAATAAAGTGTAAAATATCGGATCAATTCACTATGATTTGTAGAGGATGAAAGTGGAATTAAACCGAAAATGATTCAGGTGCGGAAGAGTCACATTTCAGACATTTTTAACAGATAAATCACCATCTCATTAACCTTCTTGGCGAAAAAAAAAATTGATGGTCTATTTTGAGCGTTGCGCATGTCATTGGAAAGTTTGTTTTTCCGCCATTCTTTGCAAGAGAAAAAAAATGCTCTCACTCGCAAAATTACATTATTTCCGCGAAAAAATCTTTTTCGCAAATGTTGATGTTTTCTTTGAGAGCAATTAACTGTTCCGCGAAGAATTTTATAGCTCTCGCCTTTGGATGGAATTTGCAATGAATTAATTCCACTGCGCCGCTTTTCATCTCACGACCATCTCAATTCTTTTCAAATTCAGGGAAGTAAAAAAAAATCTAAATTGCGATTTATTTGCAAAATTTCAGATAAATCCCATTTACGGTTAAGTTTCTTCACCTGATTCGCTTATTATATTTTTCGCAAATTTTTGCCGTGTGAAGACTTTATTGTTTTCCTCGTTGAGATATCAACCAGAAATAGCATTTATGTAATTTGAAGAATATTTTCATGATAACGCCCGTGCATGAGTATATATTTGCTTTCACATTTAGTGGGTGTATTGATTTCAATTGTATTTGTTTGGCACATGCCGTGAGATTTATCACAAATATTTTCATTGAGAAAGGCGACCAGTTGGGCGTGCAAAATAGAGGAAAATCTCGTGACTGGGTAATTCCGTGGTCGGTGTCCAATCGCATGAGATTTTATGGCGCAAATATTTCAGGGAAACAAGCGTATTCGACGCATTCCTCGGAAACAGGTGTAATTGATGGATTTGACTTTGAAGCCAAATTCACTTGTAAAGAGATAAACCATACGGAAAAGCTCGCTTTTGCGTCAAAATACCATCATATTGTGCACAATGATCGTGAGGAGCCTTTTAAGTAGCTTCAATTGCGTCAAGATCAGCCCCGAAGTGCGGCACAAGACTCTACTTAATCCCAAGAAATGTCTATGAGATTATTAGAGGACAAACGGGCTAACTCGGATAACCATTTTCCAGAGCGACATTTATCTATCAATATTAGATTGTGAAATTATCGCCTATAAAATCTATTTTGAAATCGCTGTCCTTGCACAAGTTCCAAAACTGTTCCGCCAAAATTGCGATATAATCGTGTAAAATTTGAAGTTTGTTTGTAAAATTTGTACAATTTAGTGGTGATAATTTTGATGGATTTCCCAAAAAGATGCACCATTCAAAGTACTCTTGCCCTACGCAATATGAGAAATACTTTGAACACATCTTCCGCAGAGACGCTAATGTCTGCAAATGTGTCTGAATGAAAGTTCTGGCTGTATTCGAATTAATTAAATCGCTGTATATTTGTCTCTCGACTTCTTTGCAATGTCTCTGAGTACACACGTCCAATGAATCATTTAAATTACATCTGACGACAAATAGTGTGGCAGTGCCAAGAGATTCATATCGTCAGACTGAAGAGGTTGGTAAAAGTGTGGAATGCAGTGTGAATTGGAATCAGCTGATTTACTTTGTCTTATCAGCGACATATTTTTGTTAATCTGCAATTGGACAGGCGAAATTGTTTGATTGTGTGATGGAACACCCTGATAGATTACCACCGAGGAATTCCTCAGGAGTGACGTGAAATTTATCTTTATCACTGATCACTACAAATGAATTTCACAATAGAGAAGTGTTTTTCCTACTAATTATTGCGGAAGAACTATCAATATTCGATGAAAGTCAAGTGATTAATCGAAGTGGTATTTAGCATAGAGATACAGGGTTATTTTCTGCATTCATCGGCATCTGATAGTGGAAGTGGTTCCGAGGAAATTGATTACAGTATGGAATAAACAGCGTTTTGGCGCCAGGTACTGGTGACTGTGGCACCTGAACGATAAGTTTCTATTGTGATATCAGTAATTTCATCGCCACCGACGCCAATTTTTTGTGCAATCTCACGTTGACCTAAAATAGGCTCTGTGTAGAATTTTCTCATGCGAAATTGGTAAGTATTTATTGCAAGTATAGGAGAAAATGATGAAGAAAACGCTGATGATGATTAAATCAAAGAGTTTATCGACCGTCTATGTTTTCGGATATTTTTAAACACTGACGAGAAGTGAGAAAACTCCTCATCGCCTCAGACGAGGAAAATTGTGTGCCGCCACAGTTTTTCGCCAAAGCGCAAATGGGATTCTAGTCAATTAGTCAATGTTGTATGTTTAAAAGGCAACACTCTTCAGTCATACTATTCAGCGCGTCATATTTTCATCCCAGACTCGAACTTCCAAGCAAAAGGCACTTTTCCAACTATGAAAAATTGTTCGATGTTGGGAAGAACTGAGCTAAGGCGAGGCGATATCATTAATTTAGCAAAATATTTGTTATTATACTGTTTATTTATTGCACTTTAGAGTATAGCTGAGCGATTAAAGAGGCAAGACAGTTGGTGTGAGAAAAAGCGCCACAGGCAAGGTCAGAAGACAAGCAAGATCGCATGAATTTCAATCCGGCATCGTGACGAGACCTTCTATCGTTACAGAAATTAAAGCCAATATAGATTCAATTCTCAAAAGCACATACAAATTGAGGCGTTTTGTGAAAATCCGTCTTCGCACAATTAATTGGCACGTTTTCGCCAATAAAGTGATTAAAAGTGTGATTTATGAAGTTGGCTGAAATGACTTAAATATTTGGGAAGAGAGAGAGATGATTTACATTTTTCTGCTGCTCTTAATAGAATTTGACATTCTTTGGCAGACTTTCAATAAATTAATTTAATTTTATTCTCAGGTGCTTTATCAATTTTCATGCGGGAACGTGCAACAATGTCGGAGAAATCTGATCATTTGAGCTGACACTCTGCGAATGGAGTCTGTGAACATTTGTCAGCATAAATTGTTGCAGAAGATTGGGTGGAAGAGTGAAAATGTGGCTATAAAGTTTATTTTCCTCCAAGTGGTCAGAAAAAGTCAATGATGAGGAAGATGTAAAAAAGATGGGAATTGGAGGAAAGAACTAGACTGCCTGGGTTCTGGCGGATGAGGCCACATAGTTGAGATGATCGCATGACGAATAGACAGAGAGGTGAAGAGACAGCATCAAACAGAAAATCACAATATTGCCCGTTTTAATAACACCCATTAATCTAATTTGTGAAAATGCCAACTTTTATACGCGCCCAAATACGCTCATTTACGCTATTTAGACGGTCAATCTATATGTTTTCTCCTGTTGTAAAAATGTGGCATTTTACGATTCTCGCCCGAAAGGCCTGAACACACGACTACAGTGAGGGTGAGAGCATAATCGTGCAGGAAAAATAAATGCTGAGAAGCCTTCTTGCTCTCACGCGGGTTGACGTGCGCCACAGTTATGATGGTGGAGAGAGGAAAATATTTGGAGTGACTAATTGGCTACGTGCTCTGTGCCAAGATGCCTGAAGAAAAA